GAAGCAGGTGTGGACAGTCTTCAGGCCATCAAGGCACGCGGTGTCATTCAGAATCAAGTGGATATCGGGTCCGCTCAGCTGGGTCATAATGTGATTTACGACTGCGCCAACATCCGCAAGCTGGCTGCCCATCTCGACGCGGTCCGGACCGGGCAAGAGAGCACCGCTGAAGACGAGCTGAGTGTCATGGCCCGACTGATCGATAAGTATTCGACTTTCGTGAGCAGACCCGCTGCCGAAGAGACGGTTGTAAGTTTCAGTCCCTCTCCAGATCACTTTGGGATCTCCATCAGGTACTAAACCACGCAGCTTCTTACCGGCACCACCGGCTCATTGGGCGTTTACATCCTCTCACGCCTCATGCAGAACCCGTCCGTTAAGCAGATCTACTGCCTTGTGCGGGCGAGCAGCCCCTCCGACGCGCTCGACCGCGTGCTCACGAGCCTGTCCACCCGATCGCTGCCGATGGTTAATGTGTCCAAGATCATTGCCCTGCCATCGCAGTTTGGCCGCGAGGATCTTGGCCTGCCAGTCGCGGTAGTGGACGACCTGCGCCAGTCGCTCACCAAGGTCATCCACGCTGCGTGGGCCGTCAACTTCACCCTGGGCGTGCAGAGCTTCGAGCAACAACACATCCGCGGCGTCCACAACCTGATCAACCTGTGCCTCTCCAGCACGCGCACCTCCCCCGCGGAATTCTACTTCTGCTCGTCGATCTCCGCCGCCGCCGGCACGCCTCTGCCGGCGACCATCGCCGAGGGCCCGATCCCGGAGCTGGCGCACGCGCAGAACATGGGGTACGCGCGCTCCAAGCTCGTGGCGGAGCGCATCATCCAAGCGGCGGCCGAAACGACGGGAATGGTCGCCAAGGTCCTCCGCGTGGGCCAGATCGTCGGCGACACGGTGACGGGCAAGTGGAACCGCACCGAAGCCATCCCGCTGATGCTGCAGACCGCGCACACCCTCAAAGCTCTCCCGGCGCTCGACGAGACCCCGTCCTGGCTGCCTGTCGACGTGGTGGCCGATGCAGTGCTCGAACTCAGCGGCATTGCCACCGGCGATTCCTCCACCTTAGCATCGGTCTCCCGCCATGATCCAAGCGTCGTCTACCACGTGCAGAATTCGAGGACCTTCCGCTGGGCGGAGGACCTGCTTCCCGCGCTGCAGCAAGCAGGACTGGAGTTCGAGATCCTGCCCAAGCGGGAATGGGTGCAGCGGCTCCGCGACTCCGATCCGGACCCGGCCAAGAATCCCACCATCAAACTGCTGGATTTCTTCACGGAGAAGTACGATAACGAGAACCCCGGTCGAGCGGGGTTGAGCTTCGAGATGGAGAAGACAGAGGCGGCGAGTCCGTCGTTGAGGGGAGGCGTTGAGTTGATCGCGAACGGACTGATTCGAAAGTTTGTGGATTCCTGGCGGGGGGAGTGGTGATTTTGTTAACTTGGAAGTTGTTTCTGCGAGGGTTGGTAGGGTTAGATTGTCATTGTTCTAGTATGCAGGAGTCATGAGTTAGCTGTAGTCTTGTTCAATACCATTGTTTTCTCCGTACTTCAACCAACCCATGCCCAAGGCAGTCAGGCATGGAAGACATCAAATATAAGGCATCAAGGCATCAAGGCACTGGGCATCCAGCCAAGGGGCGAAAGCCTCGGATGGCCAATGCCGACTCACCTCCACTTTTCTCAGGCACCAACACCCATCCATGGCTCGAGGCGGCAAAAGTAACTGTACCTGATCCGAAACTGATTCGTGGTGGCAAGATTCAGCCCACTGCACCACTCTTAGGGCCTGTGAATGTTTGTGAGCAGAAGTTGGGATCCACTGGTCGGGCTCAATACCCGAAGAAACCGGGTATGCCTTGGTCAAGAGCAGCAGCACCACCACCACCACCAACGCCCAGTCCAAACGGCCCCAGTCCGGTCAATCCCCCATCCCCCTGCTGATAACGAATGTGAGGTATCACCTTGGGGTTGTTTCAAGATGCTGACCACCCTTCCTTACCCCTGTCACTAAGTGAACTAGCGAGACTACAAATAACTTATTCTCCGAGGTTGGGATGGCAGTGCAATTGGAAGCGATTTCGCACCGCAAGGTAACCTGAAGTTAGGGCAGCGTCCTGCCCAAGGTTTCTCTCCCGCGCGGCCGACGAAGCGCCAAGCAGCGTCGACAGCTATCAATGGCAGCCTATTGTTCGGGTTTTCTCTGTTCCCCACTCGCACACTGGGGCCTTAAGCCATTAGACTGCGTACGCGGCAACTGACAAGCTTCCGTCTGCTGAAAATCATGGAAAATCCTTGGGATGACTTGATCCAGAGGATGGTCTCTCTGTCCATGTTGAACTACTCCGACTGACTGTCGATGGACTCTGGGGAACCACCCCGATCGAAATAAATTAAACCTCCTCCGATCTGATCTCATCCTGGCCTCCCCCCCTCCACTCTTCCTCTCGTTGATGGATTCCTGCAAATGCACGGATGACCTTGTCGGTGTGTCAGGGGAGAGAATGATTCACCAACCAGTGCCACGTTCGACCGACTTCTGTTGGGCCCACTTGGTGCCTGGCAGGCCACGCCATCCACTTGAGCCAATCTGGTTAAGCAATCAGGCCAGACCAGATGAGACCAGTCAATAGGAGACTCCATGCAATGGATGGGGCCTGAAGTCCCAAACATGTTCGTCTGCCCCCCCCTCCCAGCGAGGAGGAGGAGGGGGGGGCGCTACATTGGGCCCGCGCGCCTTACACTGTATTGAAAGCCTGTCATACTTCTTTTATAAGTCCTGCTGGCTCTGCTGCTCCTTCCTTTTACTTCTTTTCTTCCTTCTCTTTCTCTCCTTTCGTCGAGTCTTCTGCTCCCCCTACACTTTCGCCGTTCCTCATCCCCTTCTCTCCTTCGGGATTGTCACTCTTTTTTCTCTGGCTGCTATCAGTCAGAAGTCATTCCTTGAAACCCCCCCAGGTCAGCTAACCAGCCACAATTCGATCGTATCATCCGATCGTCCTTCCTTTTTTTTTCTCAACTCACGTCAGTTTAAAAATCGTCTGAGTCGATATTGACGTCCTGTCTCTACTTTATTCCATCATGTTGTTCTCCAACTACATCCGCGCCGCCGCCCTCTTCGCGGCCATGGCCTCGGCCATTCCCATCGCCATGCCCCCGACGGCCACCGAGGTGCAGGTCGAGACGGAGACGCAGGTGGTGACCGAAGTCCTTGTGGCTGGTTCCCACGGACACAGCTCGCACACCACCACCACCACCGTCAAGCCCACCACCACGGCGCATCACACCTCGACCTTCGCCTCCACCCACGCCTCGGCCACTCCCTCGGCCTCCGCCGTCGCCTCCTCGACCAGCAGCAGCAGCGGCAGCAGCGCGACAGGCGGCCGCGTCGAGATCGTCAACAACCTGAACCACACCATCTACGCCTGGTCCGTCTCAAACACGCAGGGCGAGATGCAGACCCTCGTCCCCGCCGGCGGCACCTTCACCGAGAGCTGGCGCACCAACCCGGACGGCGGCGGTATCTCCATCAAGCTGTCGTCGACCACGGAAGTGAGCAAGGTGCTGCAGTTCGAGTACACCGCCGAGAGCGAGACCGTCTGGTGGGACCTGTCCTGCATCAACATGGAGAAGAACTCGTGGTTCACCGAATACGGCTTCTCCGCCGTCCCCAGCGTCGAGTCGTGCCCGTCGGCCAAGTGCGCCGCCGGCGACAGCGATTGCTCCGAGGCGTACCAGAACCCCGACGATGTCGACACCCTCAGCTGTTCGTCGGACAGTGTGATCAAGCTGGTTCTGGGCTGACCGCTGCCCGAAGACAAACAGTTCCATTGAGACTCGCCTGTCTCGTTTCTTCTCTTTCTTCACGCGATGACATATGCCACTCGACTTTCTTATCCTTTCTTTTTCTGTTGACTCTTGCGGGAACGGTCCTTCGAACCTGCGAGTGTCTGCCTTTCAGTGCTTTAGTCTTATACCTTTCAATCAATTCGTATACATAGGTGTGTTCTTATCTACCTTTATCCTTGCCTCCTTGGGCTTCCATTCATTGATGACGTGACGCTGGACGCATGGTCATCTCATTTGTACTTTATCTCACTATAATCGCCAACTTTGTATCGGTCGCACGGCCACGGTCGGGTGATTTGTCAGATCGCATGAATCTAGATGTACTTGTTTCAACTGCCTCGAAGTTGTGCCTCGAACGGGAGCTGCGGGTGTTGAGCGTCGGCGGCAACAGACGTGGGATTGCTGACTTTCGAGACCTGAGAGCCACCGGGTCCGTATATCCGCTGTTCGAATCGCACACTTTCTCCAAAGAAGTCGATTCAGTCTGAAGTCGAGGGGTCGTAAGATCTCCTGGGTTGTGATCTCAATCTGTTTGAGGCATCCTTTCCCTTCACCCACGAGCTGCCCCAGCACGCTATCAAAGTCCAGTCCTTCTTGGTCCGCATAGTCACGGTCCATGATCTTTAAGGTTCCCAATTTGGGAGGAAATTCCTCGAATCATCCACGGCGAATCATTCTCGTGCCGAGAGCGGAAAATCTCTCAAAAGGAGCACAAGGATGGACATCCTCCAACGGCTCCTCGGACAGATTCCAATCGATCCACTTCGGATAAGCCGTCTCATTCACCAGGCTTTCTAGCGTGTCCCTGTGCTGGAGAAGACCATCCCAGAGGCCGGCGACGAATTCCTCGGGTCGATACGACTCTGACTGAAGTAAACATTCGACCGCTTCAGCTTTCTCGGCTGCTGCAGGATAGTTGCGATGTCCGATCCTGTCATTGGGGTTTCTGGCCACATGCCTGTAGTAATGCTCGATTCCTGTATGGGAGACTGACCCCTCCTAGTCCACAAAAGTTAATCGGCATAGCACAACTGACTTGGCAGCAGTTGCTCAAATCAGCATCCGTACACGTAGCGAACTGCAGGATGCCATGGAAAGTTTCAGGAGGAAGGAAGGCCGGGTCACGCGTTTTGAGATGCTTGATAAGGCGCTTGTCAGGTAATTGCATTGTACTGGCGGAGTCGGGTACATCCGACTCTGATTCGATATTGGCGGGGCATGACGCACTCTCGAGAGGGAAGTCGACAGTAAAACTGGAACCGTGGAAACAAATCACATCGAGATCGATGAGAGTGACAGGTAGGGACGTCACGTGGTCCTTTGTTTCTCCAGTAGTACCTACTCTATGGACCACACGGCAAAGGCAGCTTGCGGTGCAGCCTGGCCACGATCTCCGCATAGTCAGGCTCCTGTTCAGCAGTGAGTAGTCCATGACGAATCAGAAAGTCCAGCATGACAGCACCACTGCTAGGTTTAAACCGCCCATCCAGCAGCGCCTGTTTCACCGAGTCCACCCCCATGCGATGGAACTGCCAAATATCCTGGTCCACCGGTCGCAAAACCTCTTCCTCTCCCATCTCCATATCATACACGAAAAGCACCCCGGGATTGATGAGTCCTACCGGTCCCGAGGCGCGTACATCACTAACATTCATCCAGGTCACGGTCCCCGCCGCGCGAGCGTCCGACTGCACCCGGGCCGCCGTCATGCCCGCTTCTTCCTCAGCCTCGCGGACCAGACACTGCCACGGCGTCTCTCCGATAGCCATCCCGCCCGCGACCGCGTTATCCAGGAGCCCCGGGTAGGTTTTCTTGTTGGGGTTGCGCTGCGGGATCCAGAACTGGTACCCTGCGACCGTACGCGTGTATACCGTCATGTGCACCCCCTGCCCAATGATCCCCCACATGGAGAACTCGCTGCGATCAATGGCGACCGGGAACCGAGCCCCCACGATGGGAAACATCTCCCCGCGGGTTCGACCGAGCTCGGGGAAGACCCCGAGTTCGCGGGCACGGTTCATCTGGTGCGCCAGGACCTGAGTGCACTGGGCCTGCCAGTCCGGCCCCGCGGGACGGCGCAGGCGGACTAGCTTCTCCGGCTCGGTTATGATGTCGAAGTCGGGCGTCCAGGGCATGGTGTGGACGATTTCGTCGGTCAGGAGTCCGTGGGGTCGGTCATCGTCGGGGAGGCAGAACTTCCACAGCGTGCTTGTGCGGTTATCGTAGACGGGGTCTTCCGGGTAGGGAAAGCTAGTATGGGATGTGAGTAAGTGGTGACAGATGTAAGAGGAAAAAAAAGCGCTCACTTGTCGCAATCTTGAACGACTTGGAGGAAGTTGTCCATCGGCTTGGGCATTGTGTTGTGCTGTGTTGTGTGTTGTGTTGTAACATGATGGCGGTGGAAACCAGAAGGAAGGAGGGAGACAGCCGGCCAGATAAGATAAGCGGGAGAAACCCTTTTCCATTCCGGCAATCAACTGCGCCAGTAGCTGTCGACAATCAACTTTCAAGAATGTTTTCGTATGATGTTAGACAGGATGCGTTTTTGTAGTTTTGTGTAAGCTGTCTATGTACGGAGCTCCGAGGTGTGACTCAGCCAACTGAATGGTAGATTAGTGTACATGCATACTTTATCCAAGGTTTCACAAACTGCAGAATGTATATATTTGCAAGTCGGTCTCCACGGTTAGGATCGGAAAGAGGACCCGCACTACATTTGTTTTTTGGGGACCAAGTCAAACAGGACCTCATCAGAGCAGGAAATAGCTAGGCTTTTGAAAGAGAGAGAAAGCAGATTAGCAAGATTCGGCATCGTGATAGTGCAGGTCTTGACCATCAAGGAGATGCGCCGTCTTCTCTGCGCAAAATGGCACTAGCCCTCAAGCAGCCTAGCTGATGCTTACTCAGCTTGACGAAGTTACTTAACCACATCGAGCAAAGCTCAGCTGGGGCTGAGTCTAGGCTGAAACCGGTTAGAGCCCATGCAGACCTCAGTTAGTTACTTCCTTTGCTGCTGACTGCTGGGAAGGATTCAAATAAGTACTATGGTTTCTCACCACTACTCCACACAAGACTTGCTTCCTTGGAGCCATATGGATCCGATTATGAAAAGCACTTATGTTCATAATCATATTCAGATCAAAAGATTTGAGCTCAATGAAGTACTCTCCAACAAGAACCACGGAACTCGACCGAGAAGTGGGTCTCCCACAACCCCTTTTTGGCCTTCTTTTGAGGATGCTGATTTTACCCGAAACACATCATCCAAGACAGTATGGCCGAGTGGTCTAAGGCGATAGACTAGAAATCTATTCTCTTCGGAGGCGTCGGTTCAAATCCGACTGCTGTCGTCTTTTTGCTCCGGGCTTCTCTGCCCCTGTCTATTTTGCAAAATCGAGTCAGTGGCGGCAATGAAGTGCTTGGTGTGGCATGCGGACATGCACAGGGTTGTTGCCACGCGAGATACATCTCCGGTTGTCTGCCATCTATCAACTACTAGGCTCCTTCCAGATGAGATCCAGCACAACAGCATGAAAGGTGCATTTCAACTTAGTACCATTTCCAACAATCGATATCTTGCATCACTGCAATCACATTAGACACATCTATGGGTCCATTTCACTTCCGCTTGGACAGTTCGAGCAATGCTGTGGAACTCTTGACTTCGTTGTGCGAAAAGCAGATTCCCATGAATTTGACCATCTCCGCAGCTAATGACGTCGTGAGCCAAATGTCTCGTACCCTGACCTAGCCATGATCTTACCTGACATTCTCCGGGCCGTGGTGTCATTTTCATCCACGCCATTCATGCGTGTATAATCTAGGACGAGATTGACACGGGACCGACGGGCTTCCTCATACAATGCCAGACGGGCCGGAATGTCTTCCGTGCGAGTGCCGGCGGGCAGTAAGACCGCGAGGGAAACAGCATCCTCGATGGCCATGGCGCCACCCTGACCCATATCTGCTTAATTGTTAGCCTCCTGTGGTCGTTCGTCCGGGGAGAGTCTCTGTCACGCACAAGGTTGGAAGGGATGGGCAGCATCTCCCAGCAATGCTGACCGACCTCTTACCCAGGTCGGGAGGGTCTTCATGTCGAAGAGCTCCCAGACTTTGAGGTTATCGTCGGCCCCATCCACGAGTTCCTTGACCGCGGGTCCAAAGCCGGAGAACCCGGACGCAAGTGCACCTTTGCTTCCGACCGCTTGCCAGCCTACTTGCCCGGTCAGAATGTTGGATTTGAATCGAGTGTGGTGCTTACCTTCGCCAAGCCCACCCGCCTCGGCCGTAGGGAGGAACGCGCAGAGATTGAACACTTTGTTATTAGAGCAGGGATACGCGACCAGGCGTCGATCATCCCTTGCCCATTCGATGAAGACGCCAGGCTCCTGGACAATGTCTTTGGTCGCGGCCAATTGGCGCAAGTCATCGGTGGACAGCAGCCAACGGAAGCAGGATTTGCCCGCCGGGAATGGAGCAGGTGGCTGTTGGCCTATCTCGTTGCGGACGATGGACTATCGCGCGGGTAAGAGTGTCTTCCTTTCGTGATTCAACTTCAGCCGGAATACGTACGTGAAGACCATCGGCCCCAAGCAGCAGATCGCCCTCAAACCTATCTCCATTGTCAAGGGTCACCGAAGGGCTTTCACTGTCCACGTCGATCCCGACAATCTTACAGCCCATGTGCAGAGTGGCTGTCTGCAAGGCTCGCTGCTTGAGATAATTGTGTAGGTCGACTCGGTGCACGAGGTACCATTCCTGAAGACTTAGCACCTTATACTCAAGTGACGATACTGGCCAACTCACTGCTTGCCACATGTGTCGAATGCCATCGAACTCCTTCTTATACTTCAGATCGCCTAGGTGATCATACCGATGAATCTAATCGACGACTCAGTCTGAATCCCGCTGTGCCACGCCATAAAGCAAGCGTCAGACGGCAGGTTACAAACCTGTTCCAAGAGCGTGCCTCCAAAATCCCTGGGGTCGATGTCCAGCCAATTGAGCAAGGCAGTACAGTTGGGCGGCACATGGATCGCAGCGCCAGCCTCGCGCGAGAACTTGGACTTTTCCACAATCTGGAACGCTCAGCACATACACTTCATGAGGTCTCGACCATGTCATCGAGATATACATACCACCACATGATGCCCTTGTCTGCCCAGTGCAATGGCTGCAGTCAGGCCTGCAATCCCGGCCCCAACGATCAACACCTGCAACGGTCGGGGTTTTTGGCTCGTGACGGTCATTTTGATTTGTTGTATTGTAAGCTGAATGCTGATCTAAGCTCGCTTGACTACCTCCTCTGGCGTCGACTTCCCAGGACATTTTAACCATGCATAGGTGAAGCGACCATTCCTCTCTCGGAGACTCGGACTCGGGGTATTGCCTCGGAGATAAGACGGGATCCGACGGATCAGAGTGGGCTCAGACAAGGACTGATTGTTATGATTATGAGCAGGAGTCTATCCGCAAGGGTCGATAGAATATGTCAATCATTTCCCTGTGTTTCAGTGTGAGATGGTAGGTTCAATGGGATTGCTATCTGGACTTAGAGTGGAGAATGCGCCGGGGGCTGGACGGGGCGATTCGACGTGCAAGATGAGCCTCGCCAGGGTCCTTTTCTACCTATCTACCACACCGGTGAAGCCTACAAAATCCCTCAGTTTATCATGCTATCCAACTACTGTACCGGTAAAGTGCATACTGACAGTCTAGTGTATATGGCTTTCATGATGGTTGCTCCCTTCCGGGCCGGTCCGCCCGGAACGGTAAGACGAAAAAGGGGGAGGTTTCTTATCCTTCCCCTTCTTTGCCCCGCTCAACCGCCAATCTGTATCTGTCTTGACGGACCGATTTGACAACAAGGAGAGCAAGTTCTCCGGAATGCATGTTCTTACTCGTACTCTAGTACGATTTACCGAGCAGAAGTAGGAGTAGAGGCCCACGCTTGCAGTGTTCCCCTATTCGACTGTTTAGCTTCTCCAATACTTGGCCCACTTGCTCTGTCCCTTGACCACATTCACAAACTCCCGCGCAATGATGCGATCCGTCTGCTCGGACGGATGGAGGTCGTTCCACCACATATAGCTGTCCCGGACCGCACCTGAGCTGCAGGCGGAGCCACACCGATAGATCGAGCTGGTGACGTTGAGCGGCGCAGTGCCGTTCAGGTACTGGGACGGGTTCTCCCAGATATCCGTCGTCTGCGTGATATATCAGCCTGCCTGCAATCACCTCCCAAACTCAGCCATCCTTACCAAAGCATGCGTGTCGTAGAGCGCAAAGCTACTCTGCGGATACCGCTGGGCGATCTGCACCTCGTACGGCGTCTGATAGTTGAACACCGCGTTCACCAGCGTCGAGTACTGGCGCATCTTCTCGCTCGACTGCGTGATGTTGGGGTCGTACGTGGACTTGTCCGTCCAGTACTCCCCCGTGGGGAGGCCCCCGTTCTGCGGGGTGGCGTATTCCGGGGCCAGCTCGAGGGCGACGAGGTTCATCAGGACGAAGTTGCGGGCGCCGGCGGCGTGCAGCCGGTCGAGTTGCGTGTACACGCAGTCGGTGAAGTAGGTCAGCGCCATGCCGGCGGGCTGCTCCTCGGTGAGAAAGCTGCCGGGCCCCAGGTCGTTGGTGCCAATCCAGATCGCGTAGACGGTCTCGGCGGGCCGGTTGATGAGGGCGGTCTGGCCGGTGGTCTTGTTGACATACTCATTGTCGGCGAGGAACTTGGGGAGCTGGTCCTGTTTCACCCCGTTGCGCGAGGTGTCGGCCTCCACGGAGTCGCAGACCGCGCCTGCCACGGCGTAGTCGTAGAGGTTGACCCCCGTGTACTGCTGGACGTAACTCGGCCATGCGCGGCCTCCGTCCCATTCGTCGGTTGACTGTTTGTGGTACTGATTGTGAGTGGGGGTCTTTGGCCTGCAGTGCTTGTAGAGAAGCATTCATACCTGCGCTGCCACTGGTGGGGTGTACGAATAGACGCCGTCATCGGTGTAGCTGTCACCGAAGATCACCAGCGAAGAGAACTTCTTCAACAGGGCCTGTGATCGCCGCGCCGGTGCGCAGACTGCACGGCTAGTGGTCAGGGCCAGAACGAGCACTCCAAGCGCAGACTTCATCGTGATGGATAGGTGTCGGCGTTTCGGGTGTGAGGTTTTCTGGGGAAGCATGTCTCATGGTAGACAGGGCATCCCCGGGTAGTATTTCAACTGACCAAAGCCCGCGACAGCACTTTTCCCGGTCATTGATGCGGGGGGGAGTCATAACCCTTGGTATCTATGGTTGGTGGAGATTCTCGTGAGGCGGTCTAACACTCATGCAGGGGATGTATTAAGCAGGTTCGGATAGGCTGATTGAGAGAGAGACTGGCATGATGTCAGTGCAGAAATCCTCCTCGCGTACAGGCCGTGCCCTAACGACGGTCTTTAGATTGCGGGGTAATTGGATTTAGCCGGGCCACCAAATACAGTACCCAGTGTGGTCAAGCATCTTGCAGCATGTCTCCAGCAATTCGCAATTGGTGGGATTTTGTCCTTGCATAGGTGGTATCGCCTGCCAGGAGATTGTAACATGGTGCTATATTCGTATGCGGTCATTCTGCATTGTGCAGCAGTTCTGAGGGTCCAAAAGCGGAGGTTCTCCCAAGTCGACTGCAGCACTGTCACCGCATTGACTGCCCAGCATCAAGGTAACATAGCCCATCATGCTCAGAATTGCCCTTCTCTACTTCGCTGTTCACATAATACACGCCGTGGTGGCATGGCAAGTCCCTAGCGACTACGCCATCACCCCCTCACCGGACGGCCGCTTCCTGCAGCAGTCCAACGGCAAGCCATTCTTCTGGCAGGCCGACACCGCGTGGCTGCTATTTCACCGACTCAACTACAGCGAGGCGGAGACCTACCTGTCCGACCGCGCACGCAAGGGATTCACGGTCGTTCTCGCTGTCGGCTTCACCCAGGAAGGGATCACCAGCCCCAACCGCAACGGGGATCTGACCTTCATCGACGAAGATGTGACCCGGCCGAACGAGGCGTACTGGGCCTATATCGACTCGATCGTCGCACTGGCATGGAGCAAAGGCATCCGCATCTGTCTGGTGCCCGCGTGGGGCAAGTTCGTGCATGGAAGCGACAACTCCGCCAGCGTTCTCAATTTAACGACAGCAACCCCCTTCGGCCACTTCATCGGCCAGCGATACCCCTACCTCCCCAAGACCCTCGTGGCCGACACCAACCCCTACTGGCAGAACAAGACCGCTGTCAAGGCGGACTACCTCCGAGGAGGAGTCCCCCCGACCTATGAAGTGGTGGACTGGTCGCCCGTCTACGATGCACTAGCCGAGGGGATCGTGGCCGGCGAGCGACAAGCTATCTCAACATCATCATCATCCTCAGCAGCAGACAAGTGGCAACCCCTGATGACCATCCACTCCACCAACCAATGGTTCACAGGCGGTCCCATCGCCCTGGCGCACGCCTTCTTCGGGAACCGCAGCTGGCTCACGCTGGACACCAGCCAGTCCGGCCATACGGACTACGCGCCCAACCCTCCGATCCCGTGGTGGAACTGTCGACGGGGCTGGGAGCCCGTCGAGCGCATGTATGCGGCGGGGAACTCCTCTACGCAACCCTCTGGCGGCAGCAAACCGCGACCGGTCCTCGACAACGAGGCGCACTACGAGCACCGGTACAATGACGGGAATCCCGATTCGTTCTATTGGAATGCCAGCGACGTGCGCATCGGGAGCTGGCAGGCGGTTAGTATTCCCTATTCCTGTTAAATAAAGATACTGACCGCGGGACAGGTCTTCTCCGGCGCCGCAGGCCTGACCTACGGTGCCAACGCCGTGCAACAAATCGCCATCCCCGGATTATACGCCTCGGATGGGAGCGGACCGGGCGACGACTGGGAGCAGGACCTCGTGCTCCCGGGGTCCAGTCAGATGCAGTGGATCCAGAAGGTGGTGATGGATCGGGGCCAGGACAGCTATTTCCGACGCGTGCCGGCGCAGGATCTGCTGGTCGGGGATGTGGGAGGGGACGATGCCAGAGTCACCGCAACCAGAGATCGTGGCGGAGATTGGATCTTGGTGTACACGCCCACGGGCCAGGAGTTCCGGGTTGATACCGGGGAGTTGAGCTCGTGTCCAGTGCGGGCGAGTTGGTTTGATCCGTTGGATGGGACTTATATTTCGTTGGAGTACGCACAGTGCGGGCAGGGCTCGGTGCGAACGTTTACACCGCCGGTTGGGCAGGGGCATGTGGATTGGGTTTTGGTGTTGGAGGTGGTTTGATTGCGATGATGATTTTAGGTGGTGCTTGATGAGCCTCTCGAAGTGTAGAGACATGTCTTGTATCTGTCAAGCATGCTACTTGATGGCGGAAGATAGATTGTGAATATTAAGCGGCCACCTTCTTACATCATTGTTTGCCAGCACAGTATATAACCTATGCTGTATACTCCAGGACCCCGTAGAGCGCGCATGAAAGCACTGGCCCTTGTACTGCCCTCCGACCAGCAGCTCCTCATTCAAAACCAATAGTACCTGCACCATTGACCCAACTATTGCAGGTGGAATCCACGTGGCCGATTGCGGAGAGTAAACCTTGGGTGGTGGACCGGTGGTGCTTGCCACTGCACATTCACTGCTCAAAAACGAACCTCGGGTTGAATGCTGACAAACCACGGATTCAGCAAGAAAAGCCTGACTGCTGAGTCATTCTGCCACGCAACGCGTCGACCGCCTTCGGTGCCCACTCTCCCTCGGTGCGGTGGGGTCCGATTGGCTTGCGCTGTGGCGTGTGTGGCGCTACTCTGCTCCAGGGGGCAAAACCATGGAAATGAGGGGGATCTATGAATAGCCTGCTAAGACATGTCTCTGAGATGACCTCAATAGCACTGTTCAAGGTTTGCTGGCCCCGTCTGGCTTACGTAGAACTACCCAGTTTGAATCTTGAGTAAGCAGTAGTTTTAGATCCGGTTGCTAGGGTTAATGGACCTGTGTCTACTGCGTATAGCCTAGGTGGCTACATAACCACAAGATAATGTACTGTAACATTCAGCAGGTATAAACAAACCAATGCCCTCCAATTGAGCCCGGGGTCGCGCAGAGATTCCTGCAATTTAAGCACCGCCTCGACACGGCAGCCCTCCGTCGCCCGTCGCCCGACATGCCCGGCGTGCACGTGACCCCCCCGGGTCCATGCATCTCCCCTCCCCTGATCTAGTGTCAATAGTGGCCGACCATTGTTCATCTACCGATGCTAATAATATGCGTCGAAGATGGAGGTCTAGATGGGTGGTAGTACGGAGGGGGACTTTATTTAGCACAGGCGACGATGCGATGCGATAACTGTACTGCCCACCACGCGACGACGATCAAGACGAGCAAGAGGAAAGATGCACGACTCGACCGTCAGGTTATTCTACGATTGACGTCAGCCATGAGCAACCCGGCCGACTTGCCTTGGACTCGTCTTGAGGGTGGACGAGTGAGTTAACTAAGTGTAAGTCAGGGGAGTGATCGATCATCGGAGCGGGTAAGACGCCTGCCAGCTGGAGGTAAAGATCGCCGGTGGTGGGCAAGCCTCCGTGCGTTGTTGGCGTTCCAGAATTAGACCCAGCGAAATTGGACGGTACCTGCAGCCTGCAGCAGGAAGGTTGTGCTGACGGGGGGGTTGATGACTTGTACTCGAGTAACTAGTCAGGGGAAACGAAGTGACAGGAGAGATGCGCGACCGGGAGATGTACAGCACAGTAGTAGAAAAAAAGATTCGAGAACACAGTGAAGAACCCCTGGAGAATGGACCAGATCCGTTGGTGCGATCATGAATTAATTAATTTAATTAATCTTCAATTGATCAGGGGTAGACGAGACCGACAACCAGAAAAGAGGGAGAGCAAAGAGAAGAGCAACGAGAGAGACATGGATGGACAGCAGGAGGGTCGTCATCTCCGGACCACTGGGCACCAAGTCAGCCAACCCTCATTTGCGGCTGTGGCTCCACGGGGGAGACTTGTCACTCAGTCTTGGGAGGGACTGGTTATTGGACAAGCCAATCCACTGGGATCCACCGGCAATGAAGATTCCAGGGCCAACAGGCACAATTAATCCCTCATTGGATGCGTAGGGTGCTATTCTCAGTGGTGGGTGGCCCCGTTGGAGCGGGACTAGGGCTGCTGTTAGGCCTTTCACTTGTTGCACTTGTTGCCAGTCTTACTGAGGGCTCCGTTCTAGACCCAAGCAATTCATTCACATTCATCCACCCACGGGCATTGCTTTCTCCCGCTCTTTGTCGTTGCCGTTGGCCCTTTTATCTGTCTGTCCCTGCCCTTCTTTTGCCAACTTTCTCCATCTCTCCATCTCTCCATCCCCCATTCTCTTCCCCTCCCTCTCTCTATCTCATTCTTTGAACGTGGACTTGTCATTCTTTTCCAACTCCCGTTCCTTGTATTCACTCACTCTTTACGACTTTAACTCTCACCTTCGTCAATCTCTATCACACCACCACCACCACCACCATCACAATGCACTACAACACTTTGGCTGCCATGGCCCTTGCGGCCTCTACTGCCGAGGCTGTCTCCCAGGGTTTCAACTACGGCAACAAGAAGGCCGATGAGAGCTCCATGTTCCAGGCCGACTTCGAGGCCTCCTTCAAGACCGCCAAGGGTCTGGTTGGCACTGACGGTGGCTTCACCAGCGCTCGTCTCTACACCATGATCGTAGGTATACTCCTGCTTGACTTGCAAGGGACCAGACTAACCCCACTTCTCCCCCACAGCAAGCCTACAGCACCAACACCCCCATCGAGGCCATCCCCGCTGCCATCGCCCAAGACACCTCGCTCCTCCTCGGTCTGTGGACCTCCGGTGGTGGCATGGCCAACGAGCTCGCTGCCCTCAAGTCCGCCATCTCCCAGTACGGTGAGGACTTCACCAAGCTCGTTGTCGGTATCTCCGTCGGCAGTGAGGATCTCTACCGCAACTCCGTCGAGGGTGTTGAGGCCTCCGCCGGTGTCGGTGTCAACCCCGACGAGCTCGTCGAGTACATCCAGCAGGTCCGTGACTTGATCGCCGGCACCGGACTGGCTGATGTTCCCATCGGCCACGTCGACACCTGGGACTCCTGGACCAACACCTCCAACGCGGCTGTCATTGAGGCCGTCGACTGGCTCGGTTTCGACGGCTACCCCTTCTGGCAGTCGACCTTTGAGAACGACATCAGCAACGCCAAGCAGCTTTTCCTTGAGTCGTGGGAGAAGACCAAGGCCGTTGCCGGCAGCAAGGAGGTCTGGATGACCGAGACCGGATGGCCCGTCAGCGGTGACTCTGAGGGTGATGCGGTCGCCAATGCTGCCAACGCCAAGATCTACTGGGATGAGGTGGGTTGCCCTCTGTTCGGCAACACCAACACCTGGTGGTACATCCTCCAGGACACCGATGGTGCCACCCCCAACCCCAGCTTCGGCGTTGTTGGTAGCACCCTGAGCACCACTCCTCTGTACGACCTGTCTTGCAAGAACTCCACTTCGTCCGCCACCTCGACTGCTTCTTCGTCTTCTGCCTCTGCCACCGGTGTCTCTGGTAAGACTACTGGCTCTTCCAGCTCCGGCTCTGGTTCCAGCTCCGGCTCCTCTGCCTCTGGCTCCGGCTCCTCTGCCTCTGGCTCCGGCTCTTCCGGCTCTGGCTCCGGCTCCTCTGCTTCCGGCTCCGGCTCTGGCTCTTCTGGCTCCGGCTCTGGCGCTTCTGCTTCCGGCTCTGGCTCCAGCTCCAGCTCCGGCTCCGTCTCCGGCAGCTGGGGTGGCCGTAACGGCACCTGGGGCAGCCACGGCAACGGCACTTACCCCGGTTTCCGCCCCTCCGCCAGCTCCGGTCTGACCCCCTCCGCCAGCGCTGCTGCTGGTAGCTCCGGCTCCTCCGGTTCCAGCTCCAGCTCCGGCTCTGGCTCTGGCTCCAGCACCGGCACCTCCGCTGCCGCCGCCTCTTCCTCCGGCCTCTTCACCGGTGGCTCCGGCCGTGTCCTCCCCGGCTCTCTCCTCGGTGCCGTCGTCGGCATCCTCGCCCTGGCTGTCTTGTAAATTTAGCTCCGCGATGAAGGAATGAGGGGGTTGTCCGCCGCAGTATAGACCGTTTTTCTCTTCGTGTACACTTTTAGGACGTTCGTTTAATTCAATGATGCCCGGTTGTATGTCGACGGTCTCAAGTATAGTACAAGCCACGCACGAATTGATCATCAAGCATTATTTGGCTGAATCACTAGTAAAAAGAAATGCCTCTAGCTGGACTATGAGTCTTCACACAGCTCTACTTACAGATACAAACACCACCGAAACCGAATCACGACTCCGTCTTCTTCCCCTTCAGACTCCCCTGTAAACAGCCCACCACATCCTCCACCGTCTTCCCGCGCTGTCGCAACGCCCCGGCCTTCTGCTTCTCCAGCCCCAGCACCGGATCGTCGGCAACCGCCTGATACACCTCCGCGATTCCATTATACCTGTTGCGGTCAGCACATCTATCCCCGGCTTTGCCTCCAACACACAAGACGGGGAAACATACACATCCGGCCCAAACCCGGCCCCCTCCTCCATCGTGCGCCCGATCTCCCGCATCTCCTCCACCCATCGATACGCCTTGGAGGGCATCCCCACCACGCCGCGCTCCGCCATCCCCAGCGCCGCAGGCTTATACTCGCCGAGCAGCCCGCGCAACTCGGACAGCACCCCGAACCCCTCCGCGGCGGCGAAGGACTCGATCGCCAGCGCGGTGAACCCCTTCGTCAGGGCGGCGAAGCACATCTTCAGCGCCGCGGCGGTGCCGATCTCGGCCGCGACGTGTCGCATGTTCAGGACGGTGGCGAGCGGGGCGTCCGGCAGGGGATCGGGGCCGGAGACCACCAGGGCGGGCTTTTTCCACTCTCCTTCTTTCTGGACTTCGGGTTCAGGCTCGTGGGTGCCGACGTCTCGGACATGGTCATGGTGTGCATGGTGTGCATGCTGGGTGAAATGCGGCGGGGATCCGATGATCCCCCCGGACAGGAAGCGGAGATCGTCCGGTCGGGCGGTGGTGCGGAAGAGCTGGGCTAAATCGCGGGCCGTGGCGGGGGAGACGGCGTTGAGGTCGAGGATGTACAAGGGGCTGTCGCGGACGAGGTGTCGCGCGGTGGCGGCGGCGATGATGCGCTCGGCGGTGGGGACGGCTTCGGCGGGCGGGACGATGGAGAGGAGCACGTCGCTTTCGTCGATGAGGTTCTGGAGGGAGGGCCGGAGTTCGATGTCGGCCAGCCAGGCGCGGTGTTGGGTGGATTCACTGTTTTCTGGAGGTGAGATGCGGAGCGGGGGGCGGGGGTTGTTTATGGACTGTACTCTACCTCCGGTCGGCGGCGTAGGTTAGCACGCGGTATTTGTGGGCGCGGAGGAGCTGGGCAATGCCAAAGCCCATCTCTCCGATGGAGAGGATGCCGATTGCTTCGAAGGGCATGGTGGGTTGGGTTGTTGGTGGATGTAGAGGGTGAGGTTGAGGTGATGATGAAGGTGAGATTGGAGGTGAGATGAAGCGGGGATGGTGGGGGAATGTGATGAGAAGGATTACAGGATCAGCATGGGTTGAACACGGCGACTGCAGGTTGCTCGTCCTAGCACTTCGATGGCTTATATACTACGGTCTGTCTGTATGCTCTGCTCTGTAGATAAATTCTACGGTGGAAACAGGTCCAAGATAGTCAGACAACTCTTCGTCATCGTCACCGAGAGGGTGCAATGGGCTGACACTCCTACGTATCTACATACATTGTACTGATTGTACTGTACGTACTGTATCATGATGTGCCCTCGGCCATCGGCCTGCTTCCTCGCCGGTCGGCATCGGCTCACTCTGCCACGGTCGGGTTTGCCTGTTGCATGACCGATCTCCATATCCTGACCCGGTGATGGCCAGTTCGATCATTCGGACCGGATTCCTCGTCCGAGAGACAATAGACTGCATGGTTGGCCGATGGGGTGGTGTTGAAGGTCGAGTTAGGGCAATGGAGTCGGGCCGACGGGAGAAGTGGAAGTATGTGTACAGTACATAACTTACTACTTATGTAGGTCCAGCCACCCCAAGTCCAATTTAATACGATGTTTAATGTCTAGTGCCCTTCTGTGGACCCTAACTTATCGTTCACAGTCTTGCACACTAAGTACCAAGTACCCGTATAAAGGTATGCCGAAGTCCCTGGATCGTCGGTCCCTTTTGGAGCAAGTCGACGATCCTCAAGCTGCCTCTGCTGCCTCGCTGTCGATCGGGAGATCATTGCACGGCCTACTCCGTAGCTGTAGGTTTCAACTTGGTCTGTCTCTTGCTTCTCTGCGGTGTCTGACCGACTGACCCTCGAGCAGTATGCATTTCTACACAGCAGGGTGTACACCAGTCCCTTCAGGCATCTATCTTCATGCCCAAAGCTACCACCACATCGCATTATCCACGGGGACTGCAGTGGCAACCGCTTATCGACCAATGCCTCTCTTCAGGAAACCAGTTTCCGATGGATCCAGCCCTTTGACTGATTTAAAGCCTCGTGTGTCCCAGGGCCCGTGGAGCCAACCGTGGGTGGAGGGATCCACCGGGTCTGGCGACGCGCAAACCACCGCAAGGGATCGATGCTTAGCTCTGCAAATTTCGAACCCTTAGCGTCACGGTGGCCACCATCAAAAAAGAATGAGCAATCCAGCTGTACAGCTGCGCAATGCCTCCGGACAATCTTTTCCGGAGCTCCCCAACACCTCAAGACCTATAAAATCCGCCTTGCTCCAACAGCCCTCCCCAAAATGACGGTAAAGTGACAATCCACGCCAATTCTCCTCATCCCTCCACCATGCCACCTCCATATCCCACCCCCGATCATTCGCAACCCCCAAGTCCAGTCGAGGATAAGCTTGTGTCTGGACTGTCATCGGCCGCCATGTCGCGCCGCACCTCTTTCTCCGATTACCAACCCGGCGTGGGGAGCAGTCGCTTTGCATCCACTCCCGCCACGGGGGCACAAACCCCGGATCCTCTGCTGGGACCCAAAGTCGCCGTCCCCGCCGATGTGCTGAAGAAATTCCCTCAGACAATCGCCCGATCCCGTGACGACAGCAGCGACGACGAGGAGGAAGCGATCGAGCTGTCGGCCACGGGGCCCCGATTCCGTCGTCCCTCTGCGGCCGTTCACCCGGGCGACAATGTCTATGCCGACGAGGCGGGCTCACCACCCCCCGAGGCCACCAAGGCCGCTCGACAGGGGGTTCCTCCGGAGTTGTCCAGCTTCGGCGCCGAGCTTCTCTTGATTGCCGTCTGCTCCGTGGGCCTGATGCTTTTCTCCTTCCTCTTGGGCGACATGCTGGCCCCGCAGATCCAGATCCGAGCCGCCCTGGGCATCAGCAACACCGAACTGCCCTGGCTGGTGGGCGCCTTCAACGTGGCCAACGGCCTCTCCGTCGTTGTCTCCGGCTCATTGACGGACCTCACGCCTCCTCGACCGCTGATGGTGGGAGCGTTTGGCTGGCTCACCTTGTGGAACCTGATTGGGGCCTTCTCGCTGTCCCCCTCGCGCCGCATCCTCTTCTTCATTGTGCGCGCCATGCAGGGTCTGGCCATTGGCGTGCTGGTGTCCGGGAGCATGAGCATTCTTGGCCGGGTGTACAAGCCCGGCATCCGCAAGAACCGCGTCTTCAGCGCCATGGCCGCCTGTGCGCCGTTCGGGTTCTCCCTCGGAGCCATTCAGGGGGGTCTTCTGTTCCACCACCTCCCGTGGATCTTCGGCTCCAACGCCATGATCACCGGGCTGTGTGCCGTGGCGGCCTTTTTCGCCATCCCCCCGCTGCGGCCCGTGGCCGACGTGGCCGGCACTGAGGCCCCCTCCATCAAGCAATTCGACTACCTGGGGGCGGCCTTCGCCGTGGGCGGTTGCGTGTGCCTTCTCTTCGGCCTGACGCAGGGCGGAGTGACCAATTGGTCCCCGTACACGATCGCGCTGACGGTCGTCGGCATTGTGCTGCTGGTGGGGCTGTTCGTCACGGAACGCTACGTGGTGCGACCCCTCATCCCCAACCGGCTGTGGAGCACGAAGGGCTTCACCCCGCTGATGATCGCCTACTTCCTGGGGTTCGGCTCGTTCTTCGGCTGCTGGCAGTTCTACGCGATCCAGTTCTGGCTGCGCATCCAGCACGCGACGCCCGTCGCCGTGGCGCTGTACCACATCCCCAACGCCCTGGTCGGGGTGTTTGCGACCTGGGTGGTCAGCCGCACCCTGCACCTGGTCCCGGGCCACTACATCTATACTATCTCCATGTTCGCCTTCACGCTGGGTCCGGCCTTCTTCCTCCCGCAAACCGCCAATACTATCTACTGGGCGCTCTCTTTTCCCGGCATCGCCCTGGTGACCTTTGGCCCCGATCTCGCCTTCGCCGCCGCCTCCATTTTCATCACGAGCAACGTGGCGCGCTCGTACCAGGGCAGCGCGGGCAGTCTGCTGGTGACGAACCAGAACCTCAGCTCGGCGATTCTGACCAGTGTGGCGGATGCGATCGGCACGCGCGTCGACAAGACCCCGGACGGGGATGTCGGGCTGCAGGGACTGCGGGCCATCTGGTGGTTTGCGCTGGGGTGTCAGCTGGTGGCGGCGTTGATCACCGTGACGTGCGTGCGCATTCCCAAGGAGGAGGAGAAGGAGCATGTTACTTGAGTCTTTTCCCATGATGATAATGAAGTTGGTAGAATAGATGGTTGGGTCAGAGGGAAGAGTATATAGATTGCATGTTTTCTGATGAGCTATGATAATGATAAATAAGACTTGAAGGCATTGGTACACTCAACTATGATGCTATCCTCTCCGACGATGTTGTCATCTTATCGCGGATCTTGATCCGGCGGGGTAATTGCATTGCCGGGCCATAAATAACCCCTCAGTTTCCCCTCACCGATTGTGTCATCACACCTCGCTTTCACCAAAACACATCCCGGACTCTACTTACTGTGTGTATTCCACCTACAAGACACAATCAACATGTCCGACAAGTCCGACAAATCCAACATCCTCATCTTCGGCGCCACCGGGGCCATCGGCTCGTACATCACACAGGCCCTGCTCGACGACCGCGCCCACTTCGGCCGCTTCGCCATCTTCACCAGCCCGCAGTCCCTGCAGACCAAGACCGAGGTGCTGGACAAGCTGCGCCGCCAGGGGGTCGATATCCTGGTGGGCGATTTGGGGAATGCGGACGATGTGCGCAAGGCTTATGCTGGTATTACATTACTCTTGCCCTTTCAGTAGACTCTCTTGTACTGTACAGCACACTATACCCTCTTATACACTATACAGCACTATGCCCTCCTACACACCCGCCTGATCGAAGCACCCCACCACCCACTCCACCACTCACCCAAACTAATGAGATTACAGGATACGACACCGTCGTCTCCGCCCTCGGCCGCACCGCCATCGCCGCCCAGATCCCGCTCATCCACCTGGCCGCCGAATCCGAGACGGTCCGCCGCTTCCTCCCCTCCGAGTACGGGACGGACATCGAGTACGGCCCGGCCTCGAAGGACGAGAGGCCGCACCAGCAGAAGCTGAAGGTGCGGGCGGCACTGGCCCCGCTGCGCGACCGCCTCGAGTACGCCTACATCGTCACGGGCCCGTACCCGGATTATCCGTTCTATCTGGCCGCGGCGGGGTCGGAGGAGGCGGCGAAGGCGGGGGCGTGGGATGTGAAGGCGCGGAAGGCGGTGGTGGCCGGCGACGGGGAGGGGAGGGTTAGTTTCAGCGCGCGGGTGGAGTGAGTTTCTTCCTTCCAGGGGACGGTCCGATTTGTTTCGGCTGTCTTCGATGGGCGTCACGGCCCTGTCGTACCGGGTTGTGGCTGGATGGCTGACGCGCACATGTACATGCACAGTGTCGGGCGCTTCGTCGCCCACGCGCTCACCCACTGGGACCAGGCGCGGTACCGCGCCCTCAAGCTCAACTCCTTCACCACCACCCCGCACGAGATCCTGCGCGAGTTCGAGTTCCAGACCGGCCAGAAGTGGGAGGTCGAGTACACCGCGCTGGACGAGCTCCGGCGGCTCGAGGCCCGGGCGTGGGAGCAGGGCGCCCCCCATGCGACGACGTTCACCCTGCGGCGCATCTGGGCCGAGGGCGGCACCCTGTACGAGCGCCGGGACAATGAGGATATCGGAGTCGTGGCGACGCAGTCGTTGCAGGAGCTGGTGCGGGATTCGATCCATCGGCAGTTGGAGTAGTCGGTTGGCTGGAACGGGTTGGGTGGTTGTTCTAGATGGTTCGGGTCAGTTGTGAGAGCAGGTTGTATGATACTTCTGGCTGAAGCGGTTGCTGCCATCTGGCTTGGTTGGAAAAGCAGGTTGTATAATGCTCCTGAGTACGGTAGTGCTGCGCTGTGTGGATGCATCATGTACCCTTTTGACAGATTCTGTATGCAATTGTGGTTGAGATTACAGCACGCCCATGATGGTGAAGGCAGCGCGGCGAGCAGGTTGTGTGTAGGCTGTGCACAAGCAGATACGAAGAGTATCTCTGAAGAATGTCACCCTTGGCATGATAGCTCGCTCTACATGAAGTGTAAGCATGGGTTACGCTGGACTCTGGCGACTCTAGCAATGCCCATGTCAACCCAGACATTACTAAACATCAACTGACATTGGTGCGAAAAGATGGTCGGTGATTTGGCCGAACTCGCCATGCAAAGTAGCAGCACTGAGATGTGTTCCTGGGTTGGTCAGTCCCAGTCCACCCGACATCAAGCTTCGTCTTCACCGTATCTATCGGCTCCAGCACCCAGACTCGACCAGTTCGAAGCAGACCACAGCCTGTCATTGGCGATCGATCTCCACCCCTCCCTAGGTTCGGCTGTCAGATGCTGACGACGATCCGGATCTGGTTTGCCTTCGGGCTGAAGAACCACTTCCTGGCTCCGATGTAGGAGCTGCCACGAGCCGCCTGGCACGACCACGTGGTCGCTACCCACGGGATGTACCCGCGGGTGAAGATTCTGTCGTGTGGAGATTTCGATGCAGGCGAGATGGCGACGGTGCGCCAGTTTCCAGGTTGGTGCAGGTCAGCACCCAGTAGTTTTGGGTTATGATGGCAGACCCTAAGGATGCTGAGATGGCTGCAATGATTATCATCCTGTACCGACACCTCAATCCACTTGTAGGAGATGAATGGTTGTGAGAGGTGAAAGTAAACAAATTGAAGAATACGGCGTACGGTGCCCGTCGCGGCGGGTTGATTCCCGCGGGAACGGTGACAGACACTGACCGTCGGCTAAACGAGCCACTTGGTGGAGAGCTCATCCCTACGACAGCACCACTCGACCATTTACGTTGGGATAATGAGTTCCACAGCCTGCTAGAGTGCTGAAGCCCTGGAGTCTGGAGCACGCAGCTGTTTGTCAGCTTGAGTCAGAGTGCCCGGCCGATATAGGAGGCGGGAGTCACGCCGCATGAGTCATTCCGAGTCAGCCCTGCAATCAAGCTACATGAGACTATGCAATATGCTTGTTTTTAGCTTTTGACCGGACAATGAGCCGCAGACAGCGCTAGGCGTGAGTGCTCCTGATCCCGAGATGCTGTATGGAGGAAGCACATCTGGTGGCCGGTGGCCTTTCCCCGGCCGACTGAGATAGAGAATCGGGGGGGGGGGGGGGGGGGGGGGGGGGGGGGGGGGGGGGGGGGGGGGGGCGGGGGGGGCGAGACCGGCCCTCGGAGGCCCGGAGTACTGCCGCCCAGCCCCGGGATCGATGCCGCTAAGCCGGACGGGGATTAGTGCATGGCGGCCGACTCGGAAGCGGCACGAGGAGACTAAGCCTGTTTGGGGACGGTCGGTAGGGCAGCGCCACCGGCAGCCCTATTCCGTCCTCTGACTGGTTTCCTGCCTTTGACCAGTTGCCACCCGGGGCCCGCCTGGCCTGATGCGGTGGTTGAATTTTCCAGTTTTGCAGTTTTGCCTTTTTGCCTCCATGCAGAGTCTGGTATGGTCCCGGATTCCCCCAGACACCTTATTTGCTTCCCCCGGCTAAACTATCGCCATGCAACATTGGCGGCAGCATGTTCGTCGCCAGATGCACGATCCGTTTGACCAGCTAGTGGAATACGTAGTAATGAATCCTAAGTGACTATTTAGTTTCACCGAAGAATTGTAGAAAATTCGACCACTCCACTCTTAATGCTCGTTGTTCCTGGAGGAGTGGGCCATGAGGCATTGAAAACGTCGCACCAGCCCGGGCAGCAGGCCGACATCGGGGAGAGAGGCAAACGGCGGCCAGCAAAGTTTGTGTCACGCCCGCAGAAATTGCACTCCCCGAGGCTGGGATTGGCTGGGATTGGCTAGTCGCCCCGAACTATTAACTAACAAAAACCACCTGCCCAGACGTCCATGCTTCACCTCGCTGGCTTTGGCTGCAGTATAATAACGAAATGCCCAAGGCCCGATTCTTTTGATCTCTTCATAGCTTCTTTTCCATTTTGTTCTTCCTTCCTTTCGACGCTTTCTTCTCTCTCTCTCTCCTTCCCCTCCTCTCCTCTCCTCTCCTCCCCTCTTCTCCCCCTCCTTCTTCCCCCACGGTGTCAATTTCCAAACCCCTCCCCCAGGAAATTCACCATGTCGTCACCGGAAGTGAAAGATATCGAGTATGGCTCGGGTGTCCCATCGGACCCGGAGGCCTGGGATACCGACCTCAAGGCTCCCGCCGAGGAGCAAGACCCCTTCGGCGCGGAGCATGGTGAGGTTCAATATAAGACCTTGGATTGGTGGTAAGTACACTGTCTATCCAATACTCAAATGCATTGATACTAATATCTTGCTTGATAGGCAATCTGGCTTCTGTATGTGATGTGATATTGGTGATATCATACTAGACCGTCCCGCATATTCTAACCCACCTTTAGTGATGATTGCCGAGACTGTTTCTCTGGGTGTCTTGTCTCTGCCCTCGACTGTCGCTACTGTCGGCCTGATTCCTGCTATCATCCTAATTGTCGGCCTGGGCGTGGTGGCCACCTACTCCGGTTATGTCATCGGTCAATTCCGGGCGCGATATCCCTTCATTCACAGCATGGCCGACGCCGGCGAGGTCCTGATGGGGAAACCCGGTCGCATCTTCATCGAGGTTGCCCAGCTGCTCTTCTTCATGTTTGCCTCCGGTAGTCACCTGGTCACCTTCACGGTCATGATGAACACCCTCACCAATCACGGCACCTGCTCCGTGGTCTTTGGCGTGGTCGGCCTGGTTCTCTCCTTCATCTGCTCGCTGCCCCGCACCATGAAGAACGTCTCCTGGTTCGCCATTGCCTGTACGTTTCCACTGCCTCCTCATCTCCACCACAGCCATCCTAACAATGCACAGGCTTCATCAGTATCTTCTCTGCAGTGCTCATCACCATGATCGGCGTGGGCGTCGAACACCCCTCCACCGAACCGATGCAACTGACCCGCAAGACGAGCTTCGTGAACGGCTTTTCCGCCGTGACCAACATCGGCTTCGCCTACTGCGGCCACCCGGCCTTCTTCGGATTCATCGCCGAGATGAAGAACCCCAAGGACTTCCCCAAGTCGCTGTGCATGCTGCAGGCGTTTGAGATCGTGCTCTACACCGTCGCCTCCGCCGTCATTTACCGCTACGCCGGCCAGGACGTCAAGTCGCCCGCCCTGGGCTCCGCCGGCCCCGTTGTCCGCAAGGTCGCCTACGGCGTCGCCATCCCCACGATCGTTGTCGCCGGTGTGGTCCTGGGCCACGTCGCCATCAAGAACGTCTACGTCCGACTGTTCCGCGGCACGGATGTCATGCACAAGCGCAGTGCCAAGGGAATCGGCGCCTGGATCGGTCTGGCTGCTGGCTACTGGATCATCGCCTGGGTCATCGCCGAGGCTATCCCCGTGTTCAGCAACCTCGTCAGCTTGGTGGTATGTTTTACCCACTACCTTGTTCACTCAATTCCAAAGATGCTAATCGTACCCAATAGTGCGCCCTGTTCGCGAGTTGGTTCTCCTTCGGCCTGCCCGGCGTCTTCTGGCTCTACCTCTACTACGGCAACTACTTCTCTTCGTGGCGCAAGACGCTGCTGACCATGGCCAACGTGGGGCTGTTCCTCATCGGCGCCACGATCTGCGTCTGCGGTCTGTGGGTGTCGGGCGTGGCCATCCACGACGACAGCTCCGGCAGCAGTTTCTCCTGCGCGAATAATGCGTGATGTGATGCAGCTGCATGACACGATCCATTGCATTGGGGCGTTTTTGGGATTCCTTTTGGGCTGTATATAATCATACTATTTATAGAGTGTATCATAGACTAGACTTGTAATATACCCTTTGACTTTCTGTCCGACCTTGGTGCTGAATGCATTGCGATTCAATTGTGACAACGTCATTGGAATGCTGGGCAGGTTGGAGGGAGTCTACGTCATCGCCGGTTGCAGTGCCAGTATTCAAGCCGAGGTAAAGATTCTAGAAGCATTCCACGCATTCCACGCATTCCATGGATCTCATTAGGATAGATATCTAAGCAACATGCACAACGCCGAACAAGCATCATAATCATCAGACATAAGCCATCATGCAAAGACTAAACCTCCAACCGCATCACCAGCAACCGCAACACCCAATTCACGCACCCCGTCTCCCGCTCCACCCGCCCCATGCCCCCGTGAATCTCCCCAATTATCCCTTGCAACGTTTTCCGCGTGTACTCCATACTCGCGCTGTCCTGCAAGATATTCAACACCTCTCTCTTCCTCGCGACGTCCATCGTCCCCGCCGCCCGCCCCTGCTCCAACATCTCCCAAAGTCGCCCGTTCTTCTCCCGCTCCTGCGCCCGCAGCGCATGGATAAGCGGGAAGGAGAACTTCCCCTCGTCGAGGTCCTCGCAGAAGCCCTTTTGGTCGGTATACTATCCCCCTCAGCATCAGCATTGCACACATCACGACTCAAGGTAGGGGGGGGCCTACCTCCTCAGTCAGATTCTTGTAATCATCGCGGATCTGGAAGTATTCGCCCAACTTGTCGATCAACGGGAGGAGGGGGATATCTCTGCGTACTCATTAGTTTGCGGACTGTAGCTCTCTTAGGGCAAGGGGGGCGTACCGATTGCGCTGCGCAGGCGCGGTCGCGATCATCAGTCGCGCGAGGAGGCGGAAGAGGCCGCCTGTTTCTACTCATGGATAGTCGTCAATTTCTTATCGAGGATATATACCGAGTAAAGTCTTGTGGGCAGGGGAGGACATACTCTGGCGGATCATCGCCATGTACTCCGCCTCGGACGGACAGACCGCCTCTCGCGTCCAGTACACGTCGTAGCTCTGCCCGGTGAACAGGTTGCGCATCTCCTCGGTGTAGATGTCCAGACACGGTCCGTCGAGGTCAGCGAGGCCGCGCACCTCGTCCAGCGCCTGCAGGAGGAGGTAGTTGGCCGAGTTGATGGTGGGGCCCACCCCGTACACGGTGTGCGTGGCGGGCTGGCCGCGGCGGAGCGGGGAGGAGTCCTCGATGTCGTCCAGCCTGCGGAATTAGCATCCGATGGAGAAAATGGAGGTGAGGAGGTACAGTACATTAGCGAGGCGTTGTGCAGGGTCTTGGCGATGGATTTGAGGAGCTTCACTTGTCGATCGGGGAGCATGAGCCAGACGTTCAGGGCGTCGATGAACGCCTCGCGCACGCCCTTGGACGGCAGCGAGGCGATGTACTCGGCTGGGCTGAGGAGGTGCTAGCACGGTGTCAGCCTGTCGATCCCAGGTATTGAGGGTGAAGTAGATACCTCAGCTCCCAGCTTGACCTCCTCAACTTCTCGCTCCTCTCCGGAAGCAGACGAGATCGACGAGCGCGGCGAGTTCGCGCCCGACCAGACCGACGACTCGCTCGACTCGCTCTCCTCCGACACACTCGCGCGCTTCGCCTGCACCTGCACTTGCTGCGACACATGTCCCTCATCCGACGCCGTCAGCATACTCGCCTGAAGTAGCCGCCCGGCCTCGTCAACGAGCTGCGGATGATACCGCGGACACCGCAGACTCCACGCCACGTTGCCGGGAATCTGATACCCCAGTGCGCGCAGGTAGACCTGCACTTTCCGGTTCTCGCGTCCCTCGCCAGCGACGTACTCGGCCACGCGCTGCTGGAACTCCCGCTCGAAGTTGTTCGTGACCCGGCGCACCATCTCCTTGGCCGCGGGGACGTCGACGCCGTGCCAGTGCATGCACAGCCACACGGCGTTGGTCATGGTCGTCTCCTCGGAGCGCTGGAACTCGTCCCACTCGACGTCGAAGGAGAAGTAGTCGTTGGCGAGGCCCAGCGCCGCGTAGCACGGGCGCACCACGGGCTCGATGCTGGCTTGCTCCTGGGGTGTGAGCACGAACCCCATGCCGAAGCGCATGAGCATGTCGACGAAGCTGGTGCTGTCAGTGGGTTTGGTACGAACAGGAGTGGTGCTGTACTCACGGCGCCCCCGTGTCGATAATGCGATAGTCGACGTACTCCTCCCAGTCCTGGAATGCGCGCGTCTTGTCCTGGGTCGCGGTGGTGTCGATCATGGTTTTCCACGAGTCGAGCACCACCTGGGCGCAGGCCGGGTCGATGGCGAACAGCTCCAGCAGCATCTTCGACTGCACCTGTTTCGTGCCGGTGACGGAGCGCACCGTGCGGTATTCCGTCTCGTCCAGGGCGATGTCGTCGGCGTGGGCGTTGATCTGGATGGTCAGTGCGTGCAGTGAGTGGATAGCAGCAGGGTGTACGCACGGTGGATTGGGCGGCTGACTCGACTACGTTGTCGTACATGAAGGCGTCTATACGGTCAGCTGGGCTCTTTTTCTGTCTTTCTTGTTTGTTTTGTTTCCTGACAGACGCCCACCTACATTCGAAGATGTAATTGACAATGGCCATCCGCTCCGGGCGGCAGCAGGGCAACACCACCGCCCCAAAGTGGCCCTCCCACGGGTTACACGAGCCCCATCGCTCGATCGGTCCAATGTACTTCTCCCAGTCGGCGCGCAGCTGCAGCGAGCCCTCGTTGGCCTTGGGTTCTGCCTTGTGTCGGCGTAGCGGGTAGCCGCGACAGAAGCCGTGGAGGTCGGGGGTGTCGCGGGGCACGAGGATGGAAAAGTGGTCTTCGTCGGGGAAGGGTGCTATCGATTCCATCGTGATTATCTGTGTGAATATTGAAGTACTGTATCAAACTACAGTCGGGTGTCCCCCAGCATCCCCCTCCGGCCTTATAGTCTGCACGGCTTATCGGGCGCCCCAACGATCCCGTCATCGACTGCCTGCCCCAGCCCTAACTCGACCCTCGACGCCAATGGCACATCGTCCCCAAATCTGGGTACCGAGCAGCCGGGCCATCGTGATCTGCAGCGAAAACAGGGTCAGACCGAAGGTTAATTGGGATCTCTGAGGACTGTCGGGTGAAAGAACCGCATTGACAGGCCGACAAACCATGGTTGCGTCGCGGTGATGTTGAGGGGCTCCACGGGAGGGCTCCACTTCCCATGAACCATTGTTGATGTCATGGATTGGTTGACGATTACACTCATACTCACTGTCCGGGTGACTTGTCCACTGAAGGAGATTCGCGATCTCTTTCCCGGGCTAGGATCGACGATCTGCATGCCGCGGCGGAACCTTGTCCAAGTTCCAACCCCCGAATTGCCGTGATAAACGCCGCGGCCTGGCCATGGCTGAGATAATCCTGCAGCGTCGGTGATTCGACCCGTCCAGCAAACATTCATTTCTTTTTCTGCTGCCAGCTGGCGACCTACCTGGCCAAGCTGGCTGTGAAGTTAGGCGCTGTCTCTCTCTGAGTGTCATTTCACTTTTCACTTTCCCCTTTGATCAACCACCCCCCTTAAGTAGCATCAAGAATCACCAAAACCACCGTCATGCCGAGTCTCGCCCCCGATACAGTGCCCCCGGAAACCGACACGGCGGCGCTGGCCAGCTTCAAGGCCCTCTGCGCGGAACGAGGGCTGCTGGACCGGCCTCAGGGGCTACAAGCGGGGGATGTCGAGGACGGTCTAACCGACGACCTGACCTTACTGTACCCTCCCCTCTCTCTCACCACACTCATAATCCACCACGAATCCAAACACTAACCAACCCCAGCCGCTTCCTGCAAGCCCGCAAGAACGACCCCACCCCCGCCCTGCAACAATACGAATCCGCCTCGCGATTCCGCACCGACAAAACCATCGTCGAAGTCTACGACACCATCTCAATCGACGACTACGAAGCCACACGCAAACTCGTACCCACCCCCGCCCTTCCCCCCCAAAACCACACTAACAAGACGCACAAAGTACCCGCACTGGACCGGCCGGCGCACGCGCACCTCCCTCCCCATCCTCTTCCTGGACGTGGCGCACCTCCACGCGGACGCCGTGGCTCACTGGCGCCGCACGCGCGCGCCGACCGACCCGAACGCCCCGGACATGGCGCAGCGCGCCTGCGCCTTCTTCGACACGCTCACGCGGTTCATCCTCCCGCTGTGCGGCGCCGCCGCCGCCACGCCCGTGACCAAAAGCATCTACCTCGTCGACGCGACGGCGCTCGGCCTCAAGCAGGCGTGGACGCTGCGGGATTTCGCGAGGGAGATCAGTTGGATCCTCGCGACGTGTTATCCGGAGACGATTGAGACGATTTTTGTAGGTTCCCTTTCCCCTTTTCCCCTGGTTCCGCTTGCGTGGTAGAGGTCCTACGCTTGTCGAGGATGCGGCAGCGGGTGGGATTACTTAGGGCTCGCTCGTGGCGGCGCTAACCGGGCACAGGTGTGCAACGCCCCCAGCTACTTCAGCACGATCTGGGGCGTGATGAAGAAGTTCGTCGATCCCGTCACCGCCGCGAAGCTGGTGATTCTGACGGAGGGCCAGGTGCTCCCTGCGTTGGCGGGGTTGGTGGAGCACGAGAGTATTCCGCGGCAGTTTGGCGGGGGGTTCGAGGTGGTGCATGGGATGCGGGCGGATTTGGATGCGGGGTTGCTGGAGGTTCTGGGGAAGGAGAGGGCGATGGTGCTGCCGGAGGGGCCGTTGAAGTGGAGGGAGGATGGCGAGGGCAGGCGCGTGCTCGTGGCGACGGGGTCGACTGCGTCGGGCCTGAGGGAGGAGGTGGTTGCGGTGTTGTAGCTGGGAGGAAGGTAAGCGGTCGTTGGTGTGGATTGAGTAGGCTTGGGGTGTTTGGTGGGTGTCGAAGTAGAACTATAGTAGAGGGGCTGAGCTATGGCGAATTTATTACAGTTTGCGCGTCTATCTGCAGAATAGCTTTGGGTATCGTTCATAGAGGGAGTAGTATGGGTAGCTGGAAGGTAAGGAGTTAGAGAGATGACTACCAGCTCACACTTGGGTTGTGAAGGCACCTGGGCACCGTAGGAGGCCAATGAATCTTCTTTATTACTGCACCGAACTCAACAACGCAAAGAAATAAGTCTTCAATCATGTTGATTACAACTATACTACAGAAACTGACCTTATCATATATATAGTAGGATAACATGAAGGCTTTGGAACTGAGGACCTCGTAGTATGGTCTGGTATATATTGCAGACATAATTCAGGTTTCAAGATCTACACACTCAAACAACAATCCTATGATACTACGTAACAGATATACAGTGCCAAGTCAACCCATCTGCAGCAGGGCCAAGCATTGCAGCAGCAGCTCAAGCTCAAGTTCAGCACCTATCTCCACTTCCCGACAAAACCCTCCTACATGACATCAACTAGGCAATCCCGGCTACAATGCCCGGAACTGCGCGCCCTGCAAGATCACCAGACCCTTCTTGGTGCGGTAGTACTTCGCATTGAAGAACGAATAGCTCTTGGTGACGTTCCTCAGACACCCGCTCACCAACTGGCCCTGCTCATAGGGCTGAATGCTGGGTAAGCCCCTGGGGACGCCGGCCAAGACGATCGCCCCGCGCGGCGTCTTGCTCACGTTGACGGTGGGCAATGTATCCCTGCCCCCCCTGGGCCCGCACAGATAGCCCCCGGCCTGCCACAGGAATCGGACGCTCTGGGGTTCCGCGGCATACTGCATTTGTTGGCCTGGGCCTTGCGTGGGCCTTGGTGCGCGGGCGGCGGCGGCGGCGGCGGCCTGAAGACGGTAATCCCTTAGCGTCAGTCGAAGGTAAATAACGAGTGTGTTCGTCTTACCGGCACTGCGGCTCGCTGCTGGCTGATGGGGGACTGGAACTGCTGGACTGGTCGCTGTCTGGCCGGGGGCGCGGCCGTGCCGGAGCCACCGCAGCAGTCTTCGAGGTCGAAGGGGTCGCAGATACCGGGTAAACACATTCTTCACTTGATTCGGGGAGAGACGATCTCCAACAGCGACTCGAAAATCGGCGATCCGCAAGAAGTATGAATGCTACAGAGCTGCGATCGATACATTCACCGTGCACGCCACATTCGGATCCCCAGCCAAGCCGGCGGGGTAGCGGCTTAAATACCCTAACCAGCTTAAGGGTGGAGAGTGACTGTGCACGATATGACTCTTGCACTGCACTACCTTGTCGCGTAAGCGAGGAAAAGGCGGGCCAGGGGTCAACACGGTCTGCATTGGACGACGGACGGGGGTGTGTTCGTGAGCCACAAGCAAGCGAGTCAGATCCTACCTCCTTGGGCACTCGGTGCGCATGGGGCGTATGCACGGCCGCATTAGCGTCGACTGTCACACGCGTCCTGTCCAGTCCGTGACAGAAGAACAAGCAGGAGGGAGCTCGTGGCTGTCTGTGCTCCGTAGCAAGCGAGGCGCTGAGCCGCATTCTCGATAAGCCCCCCTCAGATGAGGGGGCAGCTGAGTGCTAGGTAGTAAGATTTTTTGTCTGTCCCTGAGGATCCGATTCGCGGTTAGCCTCCAGAGGCAGACGGCAGACTGCTTACCCCGTTGAGCGGGGGAGAAAGTGCGCAAGGGGTTTTGGAACCAAGACGAGGTTATATGTACTCGTCTGTGTGGCCCACTCAGCATGGGCTCAGAGGCTTGGTGTATGCCCACTGGGTACTCCTTGAACCCGTGAAAAAGTAACCATAAGTAAACAGGATCCATTCCTTAGAACCGATTGAACGGATTAATGAAGATAGCATATTAACTCAATGTGACTGTTGGCCGAGCGAGCACCCCAGCTGGTCCGCCGAACATTATCTTCAACATGTATCTATGTTCGAATATATTCTTGCAGGCACGCTTGTCGAGATCCTTTGGTACTTATGCATGAAGACATATGTCATTGGATTGAATACCATGATGTTTACAGCTAACTTATCGGACATACAAAGCAGACTCTGTGAACTGATTCCAGAAACTTGAAACGAATCATTTCCCCTCCTGAGAATCTCCTAAATGTCCGTAGCATCTGTTTTCCGGTCTGTCGGTTTCATTCCATCGACCCTAATTCAAAGTCGCTACGGTTCCAGCCAATATTAGCGCTGCCCAGATCTCGGCGGAGGCAATTTATCTACCTAGTAGGCCATGGTCTGATCTTGGGTCTTTCGCCCCAAGTCAAAACCAGCCGCCTTGACTCAATAATCCGGGGATGAACGACCCGGTGGGCGCCGGAGAGAATCCAATATGTCAGCCCCAGGTTCTGCCAGCTACACACCTGCCGCTTCTCCGTGCTCCGTGATATTTTCACCCAATTATGCCTGCAGTATACACTATGCAGATCTAGCACGAATAGCATTAACCACCCCTCGAGCTCAATTTAATGCGAAAGCAGAATGCAGATATATCAAAACTCGCTAAACCCAGAGCAACCAATTTTATACACCCAGCCACAACAACTCTAACTCGCGAGCCAAAAAAGAAACCAAACTACCACCCCCGTCGCACCCAAACTACAATCTGACACCCACAAATCACCAACCACAGCGCGACCTGCCCGATTGTCATGGCGGAACCCACCCACAGAATGGCCGGGGAATCCAACGCCTGGCCCAGATTGCACGTACACAGGACGAACCCCGTCAAGGGGAAGACCATACACCACCAGTTCAGCTCATACGCAATCAGCCCGCGGACCATCGCGTCGACCATACTCAGCACGGCGAGCCAGAACTGCACGAACGCCAGCACCCACAGACTGACGCCCGCCACGACCGCCAGGATATACAGCACATCGGCCGTGTGCACGCTGCTCGCCTTGCTGAGATAGTAGTCCGGCAGCTTCTCAAGCGCCGCGGAGGCCATGCCGTACCAGGCGATGATGGTGAAGCACGGCGGGCCCACCGCGATGAACATCTCGGGCCGGAACTTCCCCTCCGGCAGGCCGCTGCGCGTGAGGGTGTGCGCCGTCTGCGCGAGGACGACGAAGAACATCAGGATGCCGAGGCCCTGCATCGTGGTGCCGCCGACGAGCATGGGCCGGGCCAGGTTGGCGGGCTGGTGGGGCGCGAGGATGCCCGCCATCGTGCCGCTGAGCATCGGCGGGAAGAAGGGCAGGATCTGCACGATCGGGTAGTGCTTCTCGGGGGTGGTGTGCGTGTGCGGGATGACCCACGACAGCACGACACAGAGCACCAGGGAGACGGCCGTGTACACCCAGAACAGCGCGTGCAGCGTCAGGACCAGCCACCGGCCGCAGTGCGGTGTGCCGTAGTAGGAGACCCCGAACAGGATCGCGGCGAAGGCCAGCAGCGAGATCGGGATGAAGTACAGGTCCGTCAGCTGCTGGATGTGCAGCCAGCGCGTCCGGAAGTCCGGGGGCCCCGACGCGGCGGCGGCGGCCTTGCCGGGCCTCGGGCTGGGGCTGAGCGCCTCGAAGATGAAGGACCCCGTGATCAGGGCGTAGATGACCAGGTTGGCGATGAAGACGATCGTGCCGATGGTGTTGAGCCCCGTGAATTGGTGCGGGGTCTGGTGCAGCAGCACCGCAATTCCCCCCCAGCTGAGCGAGATCGCGTACCAGCTCCAGCGCACGGCCGAGGTGAACCGCCGCAGCGGGGAGAGATGCGGTTCGTCGGTTTCCATTAGCTTTGGTGTTGGTGTTGTTGCCATTCGGGTATATGATTGCCGTTGATGGCGGTGGTGGTTGGTGGTTGGTTGGCGGTGCAGGAGAGAATTTACCCGGAGACGATGTTGATCAGGCTGAAGTCGTGCATCTCGCCTTCCCTCCTCTTCCTCCTCGCCGGGAGAACCGAGCCGACGCCAAGCACCACAATCTTGCTGGCCGCCGTTGAGAAAGCGTCATGATGAAGGATGGTGGAAGAAAGGTGTTGACCGGTTGATGGAGAGATAAAAGCGTGACGTCACGGCCGGCCTCAGGGTCGAAGTGGGTCCCGTGACTTCATCGTCGAATATCTGCGGCGCGGCCAACTTAGAACCCGGTTTTTTTTCCTGCGCAAACTGAAACCGTTAGCAAGTCCGTTGAGCTGCAGTGCTGGATCGGGGAACAGACTGCCACGAGGTGGCTCCGTCTGTTGCTAAATATGTCCATGTGGTGGAGTTGGTAGGCTGGGAATCATCCAACTTAGGGTTGCCACGCTCAAATCATGGATGTCGGCGGGAAGCAGGTATGCAACCGTACAATGGCATTGCTTGACCCAGTGGATTCTTGGTACAGTCTTGGTACAGAGTACTATACCTTGAATTTCAGTTTGGTGGCGGATTATATCCGGACGGAGGGAAGTGTGTTCGAAAAAGCAAGGCTCTTAGACGGGGGTTGAGCTGAAGCATAACACACGGAATAATGCTATAACAGACCCACTAAGCCATGATCCCCAGGGTCTGGCGTATCGAGATTCAATCTAAGATGTAATCAGGCTAAATGAACAACCGACCATAGTGCTGGTGCACCCACAAACAAACAAACGCGTCCACACAACACTATACAATATCTACAACACCCCACAACTCGTCTTTAGACATAACCACAGGTGCTCAACAGAGCTTAGCTCTTCTCCGTCTCCTCCTTGGACAGATGCAACCGCCGCTTCCACTTCATCTTGCTCTTGCGCATCGCCCGCTCGGTCCGCTCCCATGGGTAGTTGACCGGCGACTCGCCACCCGTGAAGATGAAGAAGTCGTACAGGAAGCCGCCCATCATCGCCCCGCCGATCGCCCCCACCCAGGGCCCGTAGAACCAGTACGCGTTGGTGAACAGGTCGCTGCCGTAGCCCAGGGCCAGCAGCGCGAGTCGGGGCCCGAAGTCACGGCTCGGGTTGAAGGCCGCCCCCGTCTGGTAGGCGAACGCCACACTCAGGTTCATGATCATCAGACCCACGATCAGCGAGTTCATACCGGCACCCGGCGGCGCGTTCTGGTCGTCACCCAGCGCGAGCACGACGATGACCAGGATCGTAGTGCCCAAGAACTCGTTGAAGAAGGCCGTCGCCCCGCCGATCCAGCTGTATCGCTGGTTCGTGACGAAGCTGTTGACGACGCCCGAGGTGGCGTTCGAGGCCAGGTACTCGTGGATCGACTCGTAGTAGAGACCGTAGGCGCAGAGCGCTGCAATGAAAGCCGCCAAAAACTGCGCCGCGAAGTACTCGGGCATCAGGCGTTTGGGAAAACCACGGTAGAACCACAGCATGATGGTGATGGCCGGGTTGAAGTGCGCACCGGAGATACCACCGGACACGTAGATGGCCATCATGGTCGCAAAGCCCCAGGCCCAGTCCGTCGTGTTGGGGTTGCCCGCGTCCGCGCAGGTGACAGCCAGGTCAGCACAGAAGCCGACGAACAGCTGCACGAAAACGCCCAGTGCCTCCGCCAGCGCCTCGCGGTGGTGTGTCCGGATCACCGACCAGGTCGTGTGGTTGTTGTGAACTTCGTCCTCGACCAGCTCCTGCACGAGCGGGTGAAGATCCTCCGGCAGGGCTGGGTCTTCCAGGGCTGACAGGTCGTCCAGCCCTTCCTTCAGCTCCTCCTCGAGATTCGGAGACCCCCCGGCTGTGTCGTCGTCGCCGTGCCATTCCGGCTCCTCCGGGACTGGCTGCAGGGGAACATCGCTCGGGCGATGGTCGTTGCTCCCGCGGTGCGGCGGGGCTGTTGCTGAGGGACCCTCGGTCTCCTCGTCGTCGCCCCCGTGAATGCTGGTGGCTGGCGTCTCGCCCTCGGCCACCGTCGACAGCTGCTCCTCCCACCCTACGGCGGAGGACCGACGACGACGGGTGGACGAGGTGCGAGACATGCGGGAGCCGCGGATGGAGGTGGTGTCGCCCGACAGGAGTTTGTTCATGAAGTTGGCCTCGCGCTGCAGACGCGCGTCTTCGACCTGGGCTGCCATCAGGCGCGGGTCAGTGGTCTTTTCGATCTGGCCCTGCTCCAGGTCGTTTGGGTCGACTTCCAATCCATACTTTTGGGAGTTCTCCGCCGGCAACTGGGCGTTCTGGCGGGCTTCAAGCAGTTCCTCCTTGGTGGGTACCATGCCCGACCGCACCACGCGAGGCAAGGGTTTAGCCAGACCCCAGACTGGTCGCGCATTCACGGGTTGCTCGTAGGCCGGATTCAGGTCACCGTAGCCCGGCTGCACAAAGGGCTCGTGCGCCAGGCGCAGCTGCGGCGTGTCGTCCGGCCCGGCCACGGTGAACTTGCCCTGCGTCCGCTGGGCTAGTGTCGTCCGCGGAGCCAGACTGGGGATGCCACCGCTGCGTCCGCTCCGGCGAGAGGCGGCCGAGCTGCGACGACGCACGCCAGATCCCAGCTCGCCGTCACGACCGGAGGCGCGACGGGTGGGAGACAAGAAATCGGAGTCCATGGTGCCACGGCGACCGCGGCCGGCTGGCGAGATAGGGGGCGAGGATGCCCCGGTCGCTTCTTCGCGGACTCGATCCACGTCGGACTATCATTGCGCGGAAAGTCCAAGTTCAGCTTCACTTTCTGTGGACAGTGAGTTGTTCGGAGGCACTTACCCTGGCCCGGGGACGTCCGGAGTCGCGTTCAGCGTCGCGTCCGGCGTCTGCGTCGCTCATGTTGGCCAAACTTCTGAATATGATTCACGTCAAGCGGGAGGAATTCCAGTCTCCCTGCAAGTGATGGAGAATTAACGGGTTTGTTGATGGTTTACTGAGATGGGAGAAGAGTGGGAAAAAAAGGGGGGGGGGGAGAAAGGTTAAGCAACAACAAAGCCTCCAGCAGACCCGCGGTGAAGGGGAGGGCCTGCCTAAACATGATATCCACCGGTCGCAAGCCATTGTTCCATGACGCCATGTTTGGTGGGTGGATGGAGCAGATGGGAGGATGGACTGGGATTGGGAGATGGGATGCGAGAGATCGTCGAGGCGGAGAGGAGTTTAGGGCCTGTGCTGGCGTAAGTGTCCCATTGTCCAGTGGGTCGGAGGCATTCTTCGGCGGCCCCTCGGAAAACAGAATCTCGGGAGTTCCTGAGGAGTGCACTGCACCGAGAACCAGTGCATGGGCTGTGAATGGCTTGTGCCCTGAATCCCGACTCCATCGGCGTGTCTCCAATGACGTCGGAGTGGTTCCAGTCAACATCCGATCGCGGGTCTGTTATTGGATGTGCAGATTCTGAGGGATCCAGGATCCGTTTTATCCGACTCTGTTTGTCAATGGATGAACAAGCCGTTGTCTGTCAATCCATGGATGGAGACTGATTTCTGTCCAGAGGCACGATATTCAGGAACATTACCAGGTCTATGTTCACCAAAGCTGTTTTTTCCCAAGTGGTTGTGACGAAGGGTGAGTGATGAGTGGTGAATGGCAGTGGGTGGATGCGTGTGCGTGGGTGGCGTCGGAAAACAAATGCTTGGTTCTCCTTCGCCTTCAGGGAATCCACTCGTAGAACACGCTAAGCTCGCTCCTAATCACTGCTAGACACTTCGCTTATGCAGCTTTTTCCACTGGGGGTAAATCCGAGCTCAGATCGCAGGCATCAATCAACTTATGCCGGTCCGCTTCCGATTATGCATTTCCCTGCACAATTTCCCGGTTGTTGTCGTCTCTTGCATTGCTTTTGTATGTTATCTCTCCATTTGCCACCAGACATATCCCAAAACCTCTTTCCATCAACCATGGCATTAATGCCATTGATGTTCCGGTCGGTGTTGCTCCCTCGCAAAGCTTTTCTGTCAGTAGTGCTTAGCATGCGGATCGCCGTTCGTGGGTTGATCGCGTTCCACTGTAAATCTCTTCAAGAGTGGAGAGATGGGTCAAGAAAAACTCCATTCGTGCTTCCGCTATCACGACCAGGGGCAACGATTGCGGTCAATCTCTCATCTGACCGGTGCTTCCTCGATCCAACTCGTCAGACTTAGCTCCTTGTTCCGTAAGTTGAGTCGGAGCACCCGATGATCCAAAAACAGACCTGCTGTGACTGGCTCTGATTCAGAAATCACGATGAGCGCTGGATCCGCCGGTCGGAACATCGTGCCAACCAGCTGTCAGCTTGATACGACGGAAATGAGATAGAGAAAGTATAGGGGCCATAAAAGGGGGATCCAGGCGGGTGAAGTCAGGGCTTGTATAGGCAGGTGATCCGGGTTCCGCCCATGCTTTTTCTTCTGCATCGCGGATTTGCCAGGGGAGGGTTGCATCCACTCAGACGACTGAAAGGGAGATAATAATTTCTGGATTAGGGCAATGATCGACTGCTTTTTCCATCCTGGGCCAGGGGCATCGTGGTGGGATCGGAATTTGTAGTCTCGCGCAAGATACGCCCCCCTCCTCTCCCTCGGCAACCCCCTTCACCTTATCAGCTTCAAGCATGGGGCTGCTCCTACCGCACATTTGAGTAGAAAAACATCCTTCGTCAAGTTAGTCGGAGCCCGCGGTAGATCAGAGAGCAGAACAGCGATTCGCACGACTCGTAAGATCAGAGGCAAGCCGCTTTGCTGCTCAGCATCTGCACCACTGGAGGAACAGAACGAGCGATGGGATGCGATCGCATAGCCATAGTAAATTACCCAGACCATGCAGGGACAGTAGTGCTTATGTAGGATAGTACCCCGTGCAGGGAACTGGATGTTCAAGCCAGACGGAGGGCAAAAGTCCGGAGGTACATCCAGGCCTTTTGTATGTCCGAGTTCATTCACATCATCCAGGCATCTGAGCCATCAACCTGGCAAGGACAAAACCACATCCACTCTTACGTCACTTTGGATGTAGTATGCGAATGATACATGGCAAGCGAAGATCGGCAACACTGTTGGATAGACCATTAGTCAGGATATTATCGCTCTGGCATCGTGATTGCTCGAATATCCACCATTGAAGGCGCGCACCAGTGGGTTGGCAAGGCATCTTGACGACAATCGCGGGCGTTCTCGATGAGGTACAGATGATTGTGGGGCTCTGACCAAGTGATCTGCGAATCTGGATGGAGAGATATTGTCTGGATCCAGGAATCGAAGCCTGCTGAAAGGCAGCTGTCACCGAGAAACTGGCCGTATGTAGGAGAAGGCAGGATCTAGGCCCCGTCGTGCTGGAGTAACAGCAACAACCTCTTACGCTTTCCGCCCTATATCGAACAGCATTGAAGCAGGCGGGGCAGAAGAACCTCTCTGGCAGGTGGTAGAAGACTGCTACCCGCCTCGCTTCAGCCCGAGAATCTGCAAGTCTTCTGTTGCATGGTAGAACTTAAGTCGAGTATGATCAAGGCGCTAAGTTCCGTTGACTTTTAGCAGGGAACAGATGTGAATAAATACAGGTGATGAAGTAATAGAGTTTATCTTCGCACTTCCTTTAAGCTTTCAGCCGTTTCTGTTGTTGACGTCCGACCAAAAATGGCCTTGAGACAAGGAAGGATAGCAGAATAAACGACTCATGAGATCATCCACTATGATTCAAGTCGAATTTGAGTTCATCACATAAAATATGGATCGTTCGAGCTTAGAGAACTGCATTGCCAGAGATGGCTCATTCTATCTCAACTCAATAACATATTAGCAATTACGAACCTGCTAGAAACCAGATACCGTACGACTCTTTGAAAATGACACATGGGACTGCAAGTCCAACGGCTTTTATGCCCCGTTGATTGAGAGTAGTTGTTATTGGCGCCGGGTAGGTTCCATCCTTTCTTGGGTATTTCGCATTTCAGATCAACCGTTGACTCCATGTCTTGAAACAGAATATCCGGAATCCAAATAGCCCACGATGTCACCTCACGGATGAAGAACATAGATCTGAAGATCTACGACAAGAACGAAAGCGCCGGGGGCACCTGGTTCGAGAATCGGTACCCAGGGTACGATCCACCTGCCATGCGAATACCTTGCCTATCTCAGCAGTTATAACACCACAATAACTGTCATTAGGTGCGCCTGCGATGTTCCATCCCATGGGTATCAGTATAGCTGGGCGCCCAATCCCTGCTGGTCCACGCTGTATGCCTCCGCGCCTGAGATATGCGCCTATTTAGACTCGGTGATTGCCGACCATGGGCTGGCGAAGTACATTCGCCTTCAACAACGATGCGTGTCTGCGACATGGGATGAGAGAAACTCGTCCTGGATCACCACGTTCAAGCATGAGACTACCCAGGAAGAGACCGTCGTCGAGGCGGATGTCTTAGTCTATGCTGTTGGACGGCTGAACAATTACAAACTGCCGGACTTTCACGGGAGGGCTGGATTTCGCGGCGACATTTGCCATACAGCGTGTTGGCCAAAGGGCCTAGTAGTGTCGGGAAAACGAGTTGCTGTTTGGGAAACGGCTCCAGTGGAATGCAATGCGTCGGTGCCCTGCAGTATGGTAAGTTCTTCCCTGAGTATGAACCTTGCTATGCGATCGCTGATCGAAAGGCGCAGAAGCTGCAGAGCTGATCAACTTCTGTCGAAGCCAAACGTGGGCTGGTCCTGGGCTTTTCGACGAGAATAAAAGGTGTATGTAAGGACTCCTTCACAGAACGAAACCCGTCTCAACAATCATTCCAGTCACGGAGGAAGAGAAGCTTGAATTTGCGAATAACCCCGACTTGTATCACAAGTATCGCACCCAGCTCGAGCGGCAGATCGCATCCGCTTTTCGTGTGCTGTGGAAGAACACCCCAGCACATCACGAAATGCGAGCACGGGTGGAGTCCTACTACGATCACAAAATCCAGGATCCGAACCTCCGAAGAATGCTCCAGCCAGACTTTGCCCCAGCGTGTCGGCGGTGGACCATCGGCGATTCGTACATCGAGGCCATGCAGCAGCCGCATGTGCATCTAGTTCAGGATCATGTCGCTAGCCTGACTGAGACTGGCGTGCGGACGTGCTCAGGAGAGGAGTACGATTGCGATCTTGTCGTTTGCGCCACGGGCTTTGAGCCCTACGCCTCCCGCTTCCCAGTTATCGGACGAGACGGAATTAGCCTGAATGATTGCTGGGGTCCACAAGGCGACTGTGAGAGCTACATGGCAAGCATGGTGGCTGGATTTCCCAATCTCTTTGGTTTGTTTGGCCTCATATTTTCCGAATTCCTGCAAAGGGTCGATCCTTGGCTGATTCGCAAGCACTGCAGCTTTTCATCCACCTCATTGCCCTGTGAACGGCTCTGTCATCCCAGGCATCGAACGGACGTCCGACTACATCATCCGCATCCTGACGCGACTGCAGACTGACTGTCTCCGATCAGTTAGTGTCAAGCCCGAAGCGCAGCACCAATTTGTCCGTTGGGCTCAGTCCCGCATGCCTTACATGTCGTGGTCTGATCCATGCAGCTCATGGTGTAGGTATAGCTCTTTTCTTCGAACGAGGTCTCCGTTGTTAATGCATCAGTAGACAAGAACAAAGAAGGGCGAGTAGTGGTTCCATGGCCGGGAACAAACCACCATTACTATGCCGCCACAGAAATCGTTCGTTGGGAGGATTTTGACCTCCGTTTCGAGGATCCGACACAAAAGTATGCGAGCTTTGGGAATGGGGTGACAGAAGATGGCTTCGCACCTGAGTTCATCCCTTGGGTGCTGACACCCGAGGGGCAACAGGTAAGGAATTGATTTTCTTAGCCGAGGTTTGCGTCGATCTTGCTCATCATACACATAACTCTTGAATTGGAATCGATATATCACGCGCGAAAATCTTGCCAACCACCGTGATTTCGAGTCCCGACAGGTACTAGTCAACCTGCTCATCTTATATAATCTGTTAGTTGAAGTGCTAGTAAGTATACAGGGTTCGAAAACTCAAATACGCACTTGAAACCTGCTCAATCAAACTTAATTGCAGCCAACCATGAGATAGATCCGTCAGAGCATGACTGTAGCAGGATGTGGCACTCTATAAATGCGGTGGATGCGTGAGGTATCCATTGTGCCTTGATTCGGACCTTTATCATCTGCACATGTGTCTGAACAGGCTTTTTCCCAGGTGTTTCGGTGTTACCCACTCATCGCCAGGAATACGATTAGAACGAATCGGCAAAGCCTGGACCAAATATCTCCCGAAACAAATCACCGAAACTATCACCAGTCAAGTCGTAGCTCATCGCTGCTGAGGCGTCTGTGAACCAGGGGTCGGAGACTGGTTCCTGCGCATTATAGATAGCCAGATTGCCCGAGCTTTCCGACAGTACAGAAGCAGGATGCCCCAAATCATACCTTGGCAGGGAATGTTCTACCGCCCTGTGCTGAGCACTCTTCGCCGATGCAGCCTTAGTCCGCAGAATTCCCAGGAGGTGCTCTCCCAGTAAAGCCGCGATACCAAAGCGATGGGGCGGCGTGGTCCCGGCGCGCTCCAGCTGCAAGGAAACCTGCGATAAAAGAGCGAGCAGCTCGATATCCCCTCCCGGTTGGTCACCATGCACCTGAGGAAAGAGCTTCAATGCTAGGACTGCAGCGTAGGAGATCATCGCCCAAGTGGGTGCGAGCATGCAATACAGAGGCTCGCCGACCATTTGCAGGTCGCGGACTGCGACCTCGCAGGTATGAACCGCCGCTTGAAGGCAGTCCTGTCGGATGGCCTCGATGTGTCTATTGCCGTTACGGTTCTCCGACGCTTGAAGAGCAAATGACAGAATCCAAAGTCGATTGTGCAAGTACACATAATAGAGGAATATCGAGGCAAGTTGCTCGGACGGTTCGGCCACATTGTATGGCACGGGAAGCCACTCCTCACACCACCCCTCAAGCCTCTCATCGACGAGTTTTTTCATCCAGTGCGGATCGTCCGGCGAAGCGGCAGCCTGGGCTTGTAATTCGGCATGGATTGAAGCCAAATGCCGGCGCAGCAGGATAAAAGCACACGTATGCTTATCGGCTGCATCAGCTGCCGGATGTTTCCACCAAGTGTCAATGCCCGCGATGAGCTTCGTGTCAGGAATAGGGTTGATGCGGCCACGCGCAGCGCTGTTTGCTCGCTCCCAGAGTAGTATCCGAAACCAAGTGCGTTCTCGATTTCTGGTAAGCCGTTGGCAATCTGTGCTCTCAGTGTGATCTTCATTGCCAACAGCCGATGGGAATCGTAGGGTTTGCTTTTCAAGGTGAACCTCAACATTATGGGGAGCTTGTTCTCCACCGGATGTTACCAAGACCCCTCCGCGCGACCTCGAGTGCTGATCTAACCCAAGTTCAGCAGCGGTCCCAAATGCATACATGGTGTAGAGCCAAGTCCTCTCCTCGGCTAACGTTTTCGCTGGGGTCGCGGACAGTAAGGAAATGTAATACCCCTGGACGATCTCGACCGATTTCAATCCACAGGTGTGCACGTGTCGGGAAAGCTTCTCCCCGTGTAATTGCAGTCGCTTTGCTAATGAGGACTGAGTGCTTGCGAACTGCGCGGTAAGAGCCAGGATCCAGGTGAAGAGGAGAGCGGACCGCGACCGGACGTATTCCGGGGTGTGCAGAAAGGGATCCAAGATGCCGTTGACAGGGTGCAGTCGAGCAAAGTAACTATGTCGTGTCAGCCTCCTATCGCAATTGAAGCGCTACACGATACCGACATCGGAAAGAGAAAGTCGGCTTCTTCCATGGTCACCAATCCTAGATCAACTGGATCAAGATCAGGTCCAACATCTCGAAAAGCGCTGGGATCGGGCGGTTTGAAGTAGTCTGAGCTTCGCCCAGGCTTGAATGAGGTAGCAAAAAGCGCGTCTAGACCAATTTCCAGACTCTCTCGACTGAGCTGAAGGCCCAACGAGAAACATCCGGGACGAGATAGTAGATCCCCCCCTCTTCCTTCGTGGGTATTGTCCTTTGATGCTTGAGAGGCATTCGCGTGCACAGCTTCAGATGCGTCCGCAAGCAACGCAAGGGGATTGCTGATGGGTTGGGAGGGGCCATCCGGGACACCCTCCGAGGGAATCTGGGAGGAGTCATTCAAGAGACTGGCCAAAATGGGCCCACCATCCGGCTCGCATACGCTGGGGCTCGATAACTGGGTATTGTTTGACGTGGCAGCCTTAGGCATCGAGGCCGGTCCCTTCTTGAGTTCTGCCTGGATTTTCCGGTATGCTTTCTCGATGCCTTGGAAGCGGCCCACCGCCCCGGGTCTGCGTCCCAGAGGCCGCGCTGGAGGAATCCGGCAGGGGCGATGGTTGCGCACGCAGCGATCGCACGATGAGTTGTCGAGAGTATTGGTCCGGGTGCACCGCATCTGACTCAATATCCCGTTAGGATCAAGTGGTCATGTGTTGATTTGATGAGACCGACCTTAAGTTTCCTGCATGCCTCGCACGCCGATGGCGCCACGGGCCGGGTAGATCGCCGGATGGTTGAACTTTCGCCGGCGTTGGTGAGCGCCATTCTGTTCGAGAACCAGGTGAAATGCTTGTACGACGACGCGCATAGACCGGGTGTTAGAATTGACAGCCGAAGCAAAGTAAATCAATGTCTGGTGGCGCCGGTTGATGACGATGAGGGGAAGATGTGGGGAAGAGGGAAGACTGCCGGCGAGATTCCCAAGTCAGTGGCCGGGCGGGCACGGGACCGGTCCTTTGTTTTAGTGGCCGGAGGATTCTATACAACCCAAGCTCGAGAGGCATTTATAACTTCACTTTACAACCATCCTCACCTCAATTTCCCCCCACGAGTCTCTCTTTATGCTTTATAGCAAGATGCATAGGCCCCAGAGCACCATGAACTCAGTCGAAGTGGACGTACTCGTATGCGGAGCAGGAATGTCCGGGTTAGCCTGCGCTGCCTTCGCCGCCTCCGCCGGTGCTCGAGTGCTGGTGGTCGAGAAGCAGGCCACCGTCGGGGGATCCTCCAACTTCTCCGCCGGCATGTTGTGAGCGCATCCACCCTTGTCAGAAGTATTCCGCTCGTGACCACTAACAGCCAAAACCCAGCTGGGGACCACGCAACTACGAGAGCCTGCGCGCCTGGGTTCCCGAAGGCGATCCTGCTTTACAAAAGGCATGGCTCGCGGACTATCTTCGCGCAGTGCAGTGGATGCGTGTGAACGGGGTTCCGACGTCGCAACGGTTCGACGGAATCATGACGATCGGTCAGGCCTTCTTTTGCCTCCCTCCAGCATCCAAAACAAGACCCTAACGATTCTGCCGACTGTAGGCATCGGATTCCCGATCAACATCCCGCATCTCCACCGATACCACCAACAGCGCATCCGCGACAGTCCCACTCAGTCCAAGATCCTGATCAACACCTCCGTGGTGCAGCTCCTGCAAGAGCACCCCGGCGTGGCAGGGTCCCGCATTGTTGGAGCGATCATTCGCACAACTGGCCCGCGGGACGATGCACAATACTGCAGAGTAACAGCGAAGATCGTTGTTCTGGCAACGGGAGGATTCCAGGGCTCTGCAGAACTCACGTCTACACACCTGGGTCCCGGAGGAGACACCATCTTCGTGCGATCGAACAAAGGGTCCGTGGGCGATGGTCTTGTCCTGGCGTCAGCGGCAGGTGCAGGCACAAGCCGGGGAATGGGCACCTACTACGGCCATCTCCTGGCCGCGCCGTTACGGGCTGAGGATGTGGACCCGACGGAGTTCCTGGCGCTGGCGCAGTATCGTACGTTCCACGGCATCACTACCAGAGATCGGCGCTGACATGACCAGAGAGCAAGTACTGTCTCCTTATCAACCAGGGCGGACGCAGATTTGTCGACGAAAGCATCGGGGACGAGATTGTCAATCAATACCTTGCCAAGCAAGAGGGGAGACGGGGGTTCCTCCTCTTCAAGTGAGCTCGCCCCTTTGTCATGGATAATCCAACTCAACTGACTCCCGCAGCGAGCAAACACGACTCCAGCACTGTGTCTCCGCCCTGTTCCCGAACGCAGGAGATATCGATCGCCTGCAGAAGGCCCGTGATCACGGGTGCAATGTCACCAGTGCCATATCCATCGCGGACTTGGTCTCGAAACTAGAGGGATGGGGCGTGGACGGTATTCAAGCTAGACGGACACTCGAGAATTACGACAGTCGCATCCGACTAGGAAAGCGGGAGGTACCGCTGGATGCACCCACCGGCACGGCGGGCGCGGCTCCCCGCTCGCTGACCGACGGCGAGGGTCCTTTCTATGCGATGGAGGTGCAGCCGTCGTAAGCACCGTCAACGAACATATGATAATGGAACTGAAACTAATGGTCTATAGGATTACATTCACATATGGAGGCGTCCAGATCGACACGCGGGGCCGTGCTCTCAGCGCGGATAGAACAGCGATCCCCGGCTTGTTGATCGCTGGTGTCGATGCAGGAGGTTTCAGTAACCGCGGGTATGCGGGGGGCCTGGCCCTGGCGTTTGTGACGGGCTTCTGGGCGGCGCGGGAGGTCGCGCGGACACTGGGGCTGTCGGAGCCTGAATTGCCCGCTGCGGCGGCGGAGGATACACCTGATGAGCGGGTCTGGCAGAAGTCCAGTCGGTTGTGATTGTGTCGCTTGAATTGATAATGTGCTGTATATTGCAAATATATCGGGCCGATGACCACATGTACATTCTCGACACGGGTGTTCGTGTCCTTGAATTGCTTTGGTCGTGATGTGGCTATACTTGTATACCTTCAATTGGGTGAATAATTCCTCTCCCTGCCACCAGCCAAACAGTACGGCTTATAGAAGCTTGTAAGAGGCACATAGTCTCAAATGCATCTCCATTCCCATTCCACCTACACAGAGGTAACAACATAGACACGCCCCACGACAGTCTCCACCACCCCCGTGTAAACCACCCCATTAACCCTAAACCCCTTCCCATCTTGCACTCTAACCCTCAAGGCCCCTCCCCTCCTCGAAACAATCTTGGCCTCCTTCAACCCCCCCTCCTCCCACTCCACATCCACCACAAACCCCCCTCTAGCCACCAACCCGCTCACCGACCCGGTCGCCACCTTCCCCGGCAACGCAGGCAACAAATGCACGACGCCCGCATGACTCTGCACCAACATCTCCGCGATACCCGCCGTGAACGCGAAATTCCCATCAATCTGGAACACGGTATCGGGCCCGGAATCCGTATTCCACAGATTAGGACTGGCAAACGTCTGCAGATAGATCTGGGTGTGGTTCCAGACGGCCTCGCCGTCGAACAGCCGGGCGTAGAGGTTCATCGTCCACGTCCGGGACCACCCGGTACTCCCGCTGCCGCTGTCGATGCGCCAATCCAGGAAGGCCTTGGCGGCGGCCCCCAAAGTATTGTTGACAAGGGGCGTGAGCTGGGCGAGCGGGTAGAGGCCGACGATCGGGCTCATGTGGCGGTGGCCGGGGTCTTGTTCGGTGTAATCGAGCCGCCATTCCATGATGCGACCTGCCGGGGAGATCTGTGGGGGTTTGATGCGGGCGAGGGTCTGGTTGGCGCGGGTGCATTCGACGGACGAAAGGTGGAGGATGGTGCAGGTTTCTAGGACGGCGTGGAACAGCTCGTACAGCAGGGAGTTGTCCATTGTCGGGGCGATGTCGATGCCCTCGGCGCTGCCGGCGATGGACATGTTGTCGGGCACGAGGAAGGCTGCTTCCGGGGAGATGGAGGGTCCTGTGCTCAGGTAGCCCTCGAAGGGGAAGAGGTAGCATTCGTAGAACTGGGCGGCGCTGCGGAGTAAAGGCCAGATGCGGTCGCGCAGCAGGGCCGTGTCCTGGGTGAAGCGGTAGTGGTCTATCAGGTTGGCGGACAGCCAGGCGCCGCCCATGGGCCACATGGTCCAGGTGGTCCCGTTGTCGACGGGGGCGGCGTCCCCCCAGAGGTCGGTGTTGTGGTGCAGCACGTACCCCCCGTTGTCGCAGTGGTACATGCTGCGCGCCACCGCCTGGCCACGAGGGAGGATGATGTCCATCAGGTCAAGGAAAGGGGTGAAGGTCTCGGCTAGGTTAGTCACCTGGGCAGGCCAGTAGTTCATCTCGAGGTTGATGTCGAGGGTGAAGCGGCCGCCCCACGCGGGGTCGTAGTCTTGATTCCACAGGCCCTGGAGGTTGGCGGGGAGGCCGGGCGATGAGGCGTTGGCGCTGCGGCGCGACGAGGCGATCAGACAGTGTCGGCCGAAGTGGAACATGAGCGTCACCAGTTCCGGATCGCTGTCGGGACTGTGCTGATAGTTCAGCAATCGAGTATCCGTGGGCAGATGGCCACTGGCGCCAGAGGACCCGAGATCCAAGTCCACTCGCGTGGAGAGTGCAGCGTAGTCGGAGACAGCATTGTGCTTGACAGCGTCAAATCCTCGGTTGACCGCATTCTGCAGTTTCCGCTCGAGCACCGCCTCGCGCTGACTCGCCGAGGGGTAGCGGTAGGAGGTCTCCGCGTCGAAGAAGATATCCACCGCCGTAGCGCCCTGCACGACAATCGAGGTCCCGTTGGCCTCAATCCGCCCTACAATTTGCATCAGCAACCTGCACCCACCAACCCAAGCCCATATAGCAAGTAACCTCACCTCCCGACGCCACGATCCTCGCCTCAGACGCAACCCGAATCGGGCCCCTCTCCTCCTCCAGCGAGTTCGCCTTCAAAACCAACCTCCCCACCCCCTCACCATCCACACTCGCAATCCTCTCGACCACAAACACCGCGCGTTCCAACGAACAACTCACATTCAACGCCCCAACCCGACTACTCTCAAGCCTCACCGCAAGAACATCATCCGGATAACTAACCACATACTCGCGCCTACCGCCATCAGCCCTGCCACTGCCACTGCCACATGCATACCCCATCCCCACACCCCACACCCAATATCCCAAACCAGGAGCAGGAACAGACTCACCTATACCGCACCCCCAAAACCTCAAAATCAACCTCAACAGCCCCCGTCCGCAGATCCAACGCCCTCGTATAATTCCCCACCTCCACCTCTCCTTCCAGTCCAAAATCCAACTGCAGCGCCCCCAACGCACTATACGACTGCGGCAACGCCGGGATGGCCGCCATATCGCGCAGCGTGCGCTGACCCGCGGCGGTGATCTCGCCATCGGCCAGCATCTGGCGCACGGGCGCCAACGCCCCGTATGCCGCAGGGTTGACGCGGTCGACGAACGAGCCGTTCCAGAGGCTGTCCTCGTTCAGGGTGATGTTCTCGCGGGTGGGGCCGCCCCAGACGGCGGCGCCGAGGCGGCCGTTGCCGATGGGGAGGGTGGTGGTGAAGTTTGTGGCGGGGGTGGTGTGCCATGATACCGTGGAGGGGTTGAATTGCGGGGTTGCGTGGGTGTAAGGGAGGAGGGGGGTAAGGGGGAGGAGGAGTTTGAGGGGGTGCATGGTGAGAGCGGGAGACGTGATACCATTGGGATTGGGTCATTGCGCGGGTGTTGGATGACGAGTGCTGCTATTTAAGCAGGTGGAGAATACAAGGCGAGCTACGGAGGACGGATGGTGATCATGCAAGCTCTTCTCTGCAGCTACTGGACTAGGGCTACGGAGAGTGTCTATCCCACTAATCAGAGGACTTCAGGCTGCTGGCTGCATGCTCGTGCAAGAGGGGTCCAATTTATCCACGGAGTTTCTTGACCACCTTCTTGTTTCTCGTAAGATGCAATATCAACAATGATGTCAGGCTAGCTGGGTCTTACTCGGGCTACACTCACCATTCACCTTGGATGGTTGTGGCAGATGTCACGTGTTAGTGAAGAGGCCTTGGATGGGGTCGCCAACTAAGGTACTAAGCTACCCCACACCCCCAGACTCCGCAGGCACAGTACCAAGCTGCGGTCCCTTCCGAGTGGGCTGTCATCCCAGGTCGACCGGAATGTCCGAGCATGGCACAACATTCCTGGTGGTCCATCCACGTCTATTTCCGGCGTGCTGGAATCATGGGGTAGTCTCCGCATCCGGAGGATGCGCATTCCAGCGCAGTCCGCACGCGGGACCATCAACAGCACATCACACCACACGTATATTCTCCCAAAGACATAGAGATGATTACCAGTAAAATCAGGATCGTCAAATGGACCAGAGCTTGGTTTATGGCCCATGCCAGTCAGGGTAGAATATACAATACAACTATGTACAAGCGTAGAGCGCCCGTTCTGCAAACAACGAGTTGCTTCACAGACCGGTCTCGATATAGTACAAAGCCGGCGGACTGACGGACGCATTCGTCCAGCCGGTCAGCCGCCAATGCCGAAGCAGGAAATCAACACGACCAAACCATCAACCGAAAACAGGGACCAAGCACATGTTGGCTGACCTGAGACCCAAGACCGAGAAAACCCAACGCCGGAAAACGAAGCAAACACCAATAAACCCAGATCAAGATGCCAAACCATTTCGATAGCGCGTCGTTGTGACCACGAGACGGGCGGTCATGCAGTGGCTTAATGTAGAAACTAAAAGAAATGCGACGGAGCTCAAAGAACACGACTAAAGCCAGATAAATCCAATCATAACACGAGAGAGTGTGTGTGCAAAAGGGGTATGTAGGTTGTATGTGAGAGAAAGAGACGCCAGAGGTTCCCCGCCACGCACAGCATGATAGCATCGTCGCGGGGAGATCGGCTGCTAGGACAGGCAGCGTTGTCATACGTTGACCTCGTTCCACTTGCGAATCTCTTGATCTTCGCGGGCATCGCGTTTCTTGTTGCGGACATGCAGGACGATGAACGCCACGATAGCACCCAGTACGATCCTAGTCGACATCAATGGATGGTCTTCCTCAAGGCAGCTGGATCTTCGCACGAGAAAGAAGAAGAAGAAGAAGAATAAAACCTACACGCCAGTGACAATGCCCGGGACACCGCTCTTGAGGAAATTGCTGACGGGCTTCTCCCCGCAAGTACTGTCGCTCGAGTCGCAGTCGCTGCGGGTCCAGAGATGCAGCGAGGAAGCCATCGCGGCGAGCGCTCTTTTAGAGTCAAGGTGTAGGAGGGAGTGGTGCGACGCCATTGGATCAAGAGCTCCTGTTGGTTGTAGCTGGGCTGCTTGCTGGTGGTGTGTTGTATAGGCGCGAAGGGACAGTACGGGAGAGAAAGAGAGTTGATTTGAAGGAGCCTGGAGGAGGGGGAAGACACGCCAACGGACCCAAGAAAATCAGGAGGGGAAAAAGAGAAGGGGAAGGTGGATGGATGGATCGCAGTTCTAGAAAACGAAAAAAAGGTTTGGGAAAAAGGGGACTTGGCAAACCGTTCTAAGGGGAAAATGAAACACCCAGTGAACCCCAGCAACATTCCTTTGCGGAATGGTGAGGTTTCAGATGCTTGGCCCCTCACTAACTTATTTCCCCCTTTTTTTCTCTTCTCAGTCGCTCCCACCTCCAGATCCACTTTGATTGCGCCCAGACTCCAGCCGGTCAAAATTCAATTTAATCTTGGCAAAACTTCTATTAATATGGGTGATTCTATGCACCTTCAGTCACTCACAAATAATCAGGCAGACAACTCAAGAGCCGTCATATCGGTGGTGTTCGTTCACTCCGATCGGGAGGGAAGATTAACTGGAACTGAACTTACACCCCCTCCCCCCTTTTAGGGCTACTACCTCCATTCACTGCAGCTGCAGCTGCAGTACTCCGTACTCCTCCTTAGACTGCACCCCATTCTCTTCAACAAGTGGAGTCGCCCCTTGAAGTTGAAGCACCACCCCCAAAACCTAGGTAAACAGGAAGTCTTTCCAAACCCGGGGTGTCGCAAACCCGAGCCCGGGATACAGACCACACTCCCGGAAATAGTAGCGATGAGGATATTTACCTACCGTACGGCGTACATCCTCCCCTGATCCGCTCTCAGCTTGTCTCGGGCGGAATCCGACACTGTCTCAACGCTCGAGCCGGCTGTTACACCCTGCAACACACTGTCGAATCTCCTTCATGCCGCGACCCTGACTTGACCCTCGATATGCACCGGTCGGATTTTCTTTCTTTTTGCCTCATGCTCGCGAGGGATGATCATTTCACTGATTGAAGCGTAGCAAGGAGAATACTTCAGTGTCTTGTTATGAAGGGCATAGTCAAGGGCATACAGGGCTCTCCGCCCTCCGCCCGGGCCATCGCGACCGTTGATGGCATCCTGGGCCATCTCGACAAAGAAACGCACGTTCCACTGCGGAAACGCACAGACTGCGCGGATTCTCGGTTGTCGTGAGACTATGATACTACAATCGGGCGTATGGAGTTTGACCTCTTCTATTTCCATTTTCACCACGACTACATTGCACGAGAACGAGTGACGAAGAAGGCAGATCCATTATGCATCTAAATACCCATGCAGCCAAAACAAACTTTTAGTTCCATCTCCGTCGTCTATGGTATATGCTTGTCGTCGTAAAAAATCCATGCACGCACGTCTAGCTCGTCAAGCGTTCGAATCCGCCGGTCGAGCAGGTTTGGCAGTTTTGCTGTCGAAAAGTTTGTAGGTCACCACGGCGAGCGCGAGACAGGTGATGGCTGAAAGCAAGGAAGATGTTAGCGGGCTTGTCAGTTCATGCACCATCGGAACAGAGACCACTCACCAAACACCGTGGTCGAGTAATAATAGCCGACGGTCTCGGACAGCGACCCGGCGATCAAGGGCCCGACCATCGAGCCGGTCCCAAAGGCCATTTCCACAATAGAGAAGGCGCGCGAGCTGCCTCCATGCGGTCCGAAGATGAGCGGGTCTTTCGTCTGTTTCTCCTTCACGACCCCTATTTCTTGGTTAGCACATGCCATGGGGGAGAAATGACAGTCATGAGAAAAATCGAATCGCACTCACAAGTAACCTGCAGACTACCCGCTCCGCGCACCAACATGGAGAATAGACCGAAACCCAGCATGGTGGTGACGAAGATCGGTTTGCCGTTGGTGTCGGCGCTCGCCCAGGGGAACTTGTCGTCGCCGGGCACCCCCAACAGCCACAGCAGGGGCGCCAACATGAACCAGCCCAGCGCCGTCGGGTTGCGGAGTCCCTGTCGATCCCGCATCCACCCGGCGGCCGCGGAGAGGAAGAACGAGGGGATCTGCAGACAGAAGAACATCAATCCGGTCGGCAAGCTGCCCCAGTGGAAGACATCCCGGAGGTGCAGCGGGAGCGTGGCTTCGAAGCCGGAGAAGATCGAGGACATCAACAAGGTATTCGCCAGGCCGGCCAGAACCCGCCCGTCACTCAGCATGATCTGGTAGAAGTGGCGAGGGGAGGAAGCATCGGTGAGCGTGGTGCTGGTGCTGGTCGAAGCCGAGTCCCCTTGGGTCGGTTGAGCCTCGGAGCTATCCGACAGAAGACCCGTGGTTTCATCCTGCGTCGCAGCTGCGACAGGGCTGGATCGATCGGGTTCCAGCATAATCAACCGGGCGACAATGTCCACCGCCAGCACGACCAGAGGAACCGACCAGGCCGCCCAGTATCCAAAGAGTTCCAGCATTGCTCCCGCCACGGTCGGTCCCGAGATGATTCCTGCCGTCACAAAAGTCATCGCGAGCCCCAATGTTTTCCCCAGATTATCCGCATCGATGTGGTCGGTCAGCATGGCGTGTCCCACCACCCAGGCAGCACACCCGGCAATCGCCTGCATCGTGCGCCCAACGAAAAGCGCGGCCACTGTCCAGCAGTCAGCATCGCCGCCTCATTGCGATAGAGAAACATCAAGGATCTAGATCAAACTCACCATTGAGAGTCGAAGCGACTAGACCGGTTCCAACGAAGCATCCACCCAGGGCCAGCAGTAAAGGGATCTTGCGGTTGGGGGTCTTGTCGGCGAAGTGCGCGATGATCGGGGCAGCCACAATTCCCAGGAAGCCGTGCATGGACAACAAGGTGGTCATGTAGCGCTGGGTCTCGGACGGGTCGATTCCCAACCGCACCTCGATCATGTAGCTCAGGATGGGGACGAGGAAGCCATAAAGAAAGGTTTCGGCGAACAAGGCGACGGTGACGGTGAAGACGATGAAGGAGCGGGAGGAGCGCCAGCGGTAGCCGACGGGGAGTGGTTTTTCCATGGTGAAGCTATTCGGAAGTCCTGCCTATTTTTTCAGGACCAAATCATGGAGAATCACTCCAGATATGTATTGTATCCACGGGTGGGAATCGAAAGAGCGCGGGGGAAAAGTGAGATCTGTAAGCAAGTCAGGCAGTGCAAAAAGATTGACTCATGGTCGGAGCCTGGAGCCGGGGGGGACATTCTGCAAGTGGGGGCGAAAGTTGTGAGATTGGCTGAGGCTGAACAGAACGGACTGAATGAACTCCACTGGGCACACTCAATGGACTGAACCCTGGATGGAGTCCACTTTATTCGGGGCCACTAGTCCCGTTGTAGTTAGAGTCTCAGAAACATGGGCTGATGGACAATAACTCGATAAGATAGATAAGGTTGAGTGTGGTTTGTCGACTGTATTCCGTTCAGATGCGGAGGTAGTGAACTGTATCTTACTACTGTAGACGTGGACGGTACTCCGTACCTCCGCACTCCGTAGTTACTCCGTATCTGTGAGTCAACCACTTCTCAGCCGCCCCTGACTCATCTTTCATAGTTAGTTAGTTAGTTATTTATACTCCGTCAATTTATAGACTTATTATCAATTCATTAGTCATAGCAGTCCATTGCTTTTTCAGGGCTGGAACGTTGATCCCAGCTCATCTGACCCGGCGCCATGCGCAATGGTCGCGTCGCGCGCCTGCCGCCCACCGCCTTGCAGGAGATTTCAAAAGACTGCAATCCAGCATCAGCTCAGTCGCCGATATACTAGCGAGTCGCCGACCGCTGCGCAGCATGCATATATCGACCCCGAGCTCAATCACAGTCGCAACAAGGCTTCTCATGAACTGCATCTACTCCTCTTTCTACCAGGGCCCTTGCGTCCCTTGCGCCAATGATTTTCGTCAACTGGCAAACAGCATATCGCAGAACGGGAGTATGAACTTCAAACTTCTATAGAGAACATCGCAGGATTTGTCTCCGTCATTCATATTGTGGAGAGTATTTGCTAAAATATCAGTCGGATAGTATGCACAATTTTGCCGTCCGACGCGGAATCTCTTGGCTCCCCGCCTCTGCAAATCCAGTAGATTCACTTCGAGTTCACTTGCGCACGCGGCGCCGCCACTGTGATCATTGCATTGGCCAATAACATTGGATGCGGCCATTCTGAACTCACCGCTCCATCAAGTTGAAAACGGAGGCACCTTCTTGATGATTTGGGAAAACACCTGAAGGGCGGTCTCCGGCTCTGTATGAGAATATCAAGTCAACAACTCGAAGCTTCCTCGGAATGGCTACCCAGGTAGTAGTGATGACTTACGGTAGTAGGGAACCTCATGGCCAGCCTCATACACGCGGAGGAAGGTAAAGTTTCCGACCGTCTTAAAGGTGCCCTTCTCTGTCCCATTCACCTTGTAGGGCTGGAGAGTCTTGTTCTGGAAAGCCGTCTGGCCTGCAAACTCCACCGCATTGGCCACACCAAACCCGCCAATCCAGTTGCAGATCCAGTCCGCATCACCGGCCCAGAGAAGAACATTGATGCCAGTCTGAACCACGTCGGAGAGGGTCGCGAGGAAAGATCGCGTGCCTAGTGGACCGTCATCAGTGCATGTTCGGAGAACGAAGGGTGTCTCCACATACCATCACCTGTGGCAGCAAACTTGTAATACGGAGCATCGGGACATTCGGAGTAGTTTTGACGTGCTCCGATCGCGCGCTGCACAGCCGCATTGTTCAGGTAATAGTAGTAGGTCTCGGGAGGATACGGGTCATCCGAAGGCTCGCGCACATCATAGACATCCCAATCGCCACTTTCCATGATCGGGTCGTCGATCAGGTCGCCACAGATGTCGCCGGCCTTGATGCACGCGGCGTTGGTCCCCAAAGTCGTGCATGCTTGGATGGCTGGGACGCAGTATTCCTGGTAGTCCTTGTAGTACTTGGCCCCCGCAGAGGCATTGATCAAGGGGCGGTAGGGGTTCTGCAAGGCATAGGTGATGTAAGCCTTCTCTTGGATCGTGGAGTCAAACCAGCCATTATTGATGCCGAGAGACCCGATGTTGATAGTCTCGCCAGTAACAGCGCCCGTCTTGATCCCGGCATTCTGTTGTTGGATGTAGTGAGCAAATTCAGGGCCGTAGTGACCACCGTATGACTGCAGTGCTATCAGATCTCTGGAGGAAGTCGCCAAACCACTTAGCTTGTCAACTCACCTCGGTGAACAAATTGAATTCGCGGCTCTCATATTCAGGGAAATGGGCAAAGAATGCTTGCAGCAACTTCCATACAAATGGTGCAGCCGTGACTGTGCTATTCACAGCATCGTTACCGTACGAGAACCCTACCCCGATGGGCTGATCGATGTAGATCATGTTTGAGTAGGTGTTCCAGCTGTAAGGGTTCAAGGACGGCGTCGTCTCGTTATTGACAAATCGACACGGTCCATGCTCCTGGAACAACCCGATCATAGACGAGCAACCAGGCCCACCATTGAACCAAGCCGTCAAAGGCGCCGTTTTGGGGTTGTGGCGGGCTTCGAAGAACCTAAGGCGATCCGTGAGCTTGGTGAGAACCCGGACGAAGATCGCATTTCCTACCAAAAGAACATGTTCATGTCCTCTCCTACTGAGAGGTAGCCTGAGTACTGATTGACCCCGGGTGTGGTCTCACAGATTCCGGAGTTCTTGACTATCTCCAAGTTTGCTCCGGTAGCTGCATGATGGTAGACAGTGTACTCAATTCCCCTCTTGACCACCTTGGACACTGTGTCTCGCTGTGCATGGGGAACGGCCTGCACTACGCCCACCAACAAGGTGGACAGCAACCAAGAAGTGGCAAGAAGCTTCATCGCAGCAAGCTGGGTAGAGGGCAATCGCAAACTTGTGATGGGAGATTCTTGTGCGACACCCTGGGCGACCGTAAATAAATAATCCCGAAGGCGGGCGGGGAAGGCCAAATGTTGCAAGATGTGTTGCTTCAACGAAGCTTGGCACCATCCATGATAATATATCTTGTGCAGCTGGTGTCAAGCCATGGGACGTACACTGCCAGGATCAAGCTCGAATGGGCGACGATCAGTCCGTCTGCGGCAATGCCTCGAAACACTTAGATGAAGGTTACATCCGCTGTGTTTCCGCGGGAGACAATCATTGACCACTGAAATTAACCCAACCACCGCGCAGAACCTGCCAGATGCATTGTTGTGTGACTTGTATTGTGTTGATCTACGCTTGTTGGTTGACTGAGAGGAGAAGCGAAGTGGTTATCATGTCATTCTCTGCATGAGTTCAATAACCCCTGCCGATCCCCTCCGGGGCCCCGTCGGAATCCGATCAATCACTCGATAGTTTTAGCCATGATTGGTGGCACTTCTGCTATTGTCATCGTCCTTCGTAGCATCTGGACTCTATGCAAGATTCTGGCTCGGCTATTAGCTGCCCAGCACCCATAATGCTATGGCGAGCGACGGGGATAGCGTGTCGCAACCTGCCTTTCTGCTGAAGATATAGCCCGGAAGAAACGCGAAGCTAGTGGCAGCCATAATCAAAATCTGTCAACATGAGGGGTAATAGTCATCTTCAAGTTTGTGTAGTAGTGTAGTACACGGGCTTAGAAGTACGTGATGACGATGAAGGAGCTGGCATGATATCCAAGGTTGTAAGTGTCGGAATACTGATTGTGATGTGCCCAGCGCCCGCGATGGTGTTCGACAGCCTGGTTGGTATTGGTAAACAAACGCGACAAACCACTGACTGCCCGCTGGCACTGCAGCATCGGGCCTTCCCTGATCTGCCACTCTCCTCCTCCTCTACGAACAACCCTGAACTTGATCTTGTTTCTACTAGGTACTACTCTTTGCTATAGTCTGTGGGGAACTGGCTGTCTGCCTATTCGTGCTTGAAGTCCAACCAGAAATATGCACTGATGCATTTGCATTCACCCCGGCTCAGTTGCTCTATGGCAGGCCTCCAGCTAGCCGCAGCTACAGCATTGTTCCTAACTTGGTCTACCGGCGAAACTCACTCAAAGGCACCTGTCGGTCGGCTCGACCCTTTCGCCAAAATTTGATGAGGAGTCATAGACGATAGCGAAACCCGACCGTATTCCAGTCGGTCACGTCCTCATAGTCCGCTGGGTTCAGTTCCACAGTTTGTACGAGCACCGAAACGTCCGTCCCATCGCGCTGCTCGCCGGCGACCTTCCCTCCCACTGCACCAGCTAAACTCGCACTGCCTTGTATACCCTCGTCGCGGTCTCGCTTCGAATTCAGCCACTGCAGATAGAAGCGCAACGAGATGGCTAGTCCGACAGCAATGATATAACAGATCAAAATCGCGCGGAAGGATGTTGGGTACGTTGGTGCTTCACTGGCCCTGAACAGCTGCGGCCCGGCAATGTTACCTGCACAGTACGCGACAAACATCATAGCTGTCATCGTCATCTTCTTGGTGACACCCCGATAATTGCTCTGCAACAGGGACATCACTAGTGGCAGTGCCCCAGGACCCGTTGAAAGAAGAAAGTACCCGAATAGTTGCGCTCCCAAGGGAACATGGTGTGCGCGGGCGTAGATGATCGCGCTTCCAACAATGGGAAAGATGATCACGCAAACGATCAGAATACAGTTCAGCTTGTTGGAACGACTCGCCAGCCATCCGGTCACGGCGATCGTTCCCGCGCTGATCACACTGGCTGGGATATTGATCAGCGTCGATTGCAGAGACGTGAAACCAAATGATTTGATCACCAGATTCCCGAAATTCTGAGTACCTCCATTCGGAATTTGAGTCAAGAGAGCAATAGCAAACAGGTGCCAGGTCTTCGGGTCTCGGATACACTCGACTACCTGCTCCCATTTCCAGGTGGTATGCTCTGTGCGACCTGTACCAGCAATGACGGCACGATTGCTCATGAACTCTCGTTCGTCGGGAGTCAGAAATCGGGCGCTGGAGATACTATCTGGCAAGAAAGCCAGCAGGACGAATCCCCAAAGAAAGGTTGCAACACCCAAGATAATGAACATCCACATCCACGGTCGGAGTGGATGCTCAATATGCCCGATGCCGTAGGCAAGCAGGCTAGCAATCAGGCCTCCGACCGAGTTCCCCGAAAACCAGATCCCCGTTCGGAAGGGGATCTCATCCCGGGTGTACCAGGTCGAGGTGATGAACATGAACGCGGGTGTGATAGTGGCCTCTGCGACCCCAAGCAGGAACCGGACAGCCAAAAGGCCGCCGTAATTCACACAGGCGGCAGTCAGCGCAACCACCGCTCCCCAAAAGAGTGTGTTGAATCCCAGGTATTTGGCCACCCGCACTCGGGGAATCAGCATGTTCGTGGGCTAAGGAAATCAGCCGTTGTCATTACTTCCAGGGGCCATTACATCGTCTCGTACCCATTCCCAAAAGAAATACCCGAAATAGAAGATACTCGAGACCCAGCTGTATTGTTGTCCGACCAAATGCTGTGATGGATTTTGTCAGCAACTCTGAAAGCTTGCAAGGGGCTCAGTTCATCACACCGTGTCCTCCGTCAATCCAAACACCGACGCACTAGAGAGGATGGCTTTGTCCATATAGTTGAGCAGATAGGTGACAAAAAGCAGGGGAATCAGTCGCCTATCCACCTTGCGCAACACGCGCGATGCGAGGGCAGTTGTGTCCCCAGCATCGCGACTCTCAGAAGGACCAGCCGTACCCAAAGGCTCTGCCATGATTATGAAGGGTGATGTACAGAGCCTCCCACCAAACAAGGAGTCAAGAGATTTGGGGAAAGGCAGAATATGCTGCCTCTCGGCTTTTTATCAACTTGTCCGACCTCAAGTGATTCGACAAATCACCCCCATCCCTTGCACTGACCGGGCGATAAGATAAGCACTCGGGAAGAAAGCGGGAAAAGCGGGGAAATTTGCCAGCTTATCGCAACCTAATTCAAGCACCTGGCCTGATGACTTGGACGATATCTACGATATGAACACACACACAGGGCGGCAGAATCACTACTCAATGCGGAACTAGCTATCAATGGGTCTCACAATCTACGCTTGTCTAGCTATCCGTTCCTGTGAGCGTGTCTCCAGGTCCGCTTTCTCCCTGCCTTGACGGCCCCTCGGAGGCCAAGACTCTAATTCTAATCCCCGATGATCGCAGGGAGCAAGCGATCAACAGACCTCCAGATAGCAGACGAGTCCGGATGCTCCCAAGCGGCTCCAATCCAATAAGTGTTGCGGTGCCCTTGCAAATCGTTCACATCCTGATAGAACCCTGCTTTGATCGCCTCTCGATTGACATACATGTCGTATGGACTATGGGTTGCAAAGGCAAGAAATGTTGGCTCTGCTGCGTTGAGACCCTGGAGTCGGAGGATATCGTCGACGATTGCATCTCGAACTTCCTGCTCGCTCATCTCTTCTGCACTCCCATACGTCACCAGGTGGACACTCGGAACCTCTGAAGACAGGATGGAGTATGTGCATGGGTACCTGGGAAGCCTATATGGCGTATCGAGGCCGCGGTTCAAAACCCGGGTACCGTCCGGAAGACCGCTGTCCCTGATCAGAGCCGTGTAGACGTACCCGTAGTGGAACTGACGGATGATGAAAGATTCGAGACTGTCCAGGTCGAGCCCATCCATCTCGTCAGTCTTCGGGGGCAGAGCCATGATAGTCGCATCTGCTTCAATTACGACTCTCTCGCCATTGTCCGACTCGACTGTCAGTCGGTGAAGCTTGTCATCTGACCGCCGAGCATGCACAACGGTGCTGTTGAGCAGGAGATCCTCCGCCAGCTCTCGTTGCGCCGCGTAGTAGACTTCCGTTATGTTGCGACGCGTGGGGACAAGGTAGCCGTTTTGCATGCCCTCCAGCCGATTCAACGAGACGATCTTCAACAGATAGACAGTTGCATAGTCGAGCAAATAGTGCATCCCTTCGCTAAGCATGGTCACTGTCTCCATCGCCGGCCCCAGATCGTGCTCTTTGACAAAGTCACGGAAGGGCTCGAGAAGGGGCTCCGGCACTTGTTCGGAGAGATTCCATCCTTGAGACAGATACGAATATCGCTGAAGTTCTGCGGTGTAGCGCTCAATGGCCGCCTTGGTATTGCCTGGATATGGCGGAACCGACGCCCCCGTGCGGAAGTCGAATCTCAGGGTCTCAAGGTCTTTTCGTGAAGTGTCGATTTCCATCGGGATATCAAAATGCTTGAAGAATCTCCTAGTCTCGGGAGAATCATCGTATGCTCTCACGCCATAGTCGATCGGGGTGCGCGTGACGGGGTCGAAGTACGTTTGCGCCTGGCCCCCCAGACGGCCTGTCTTCTCCACGATCACAACATCCTGACCCAGCTCCCGGAGGCGACTAGCAGCGTAGGTCCCTGCTGCACCCGGGGAAAATGAACACAATGAGGAAGTATAATCACTTCGCACCCTCCGCTGTCTCCTGAAATGTGAAGCAGATCGTCATCGGGATCGAGCCGCTGCCGAACGGCTTCGATTTTCGAGAGGTACAATCGGCTTCATGGCATGCTAACATCATTCTACCCGTACATTGCGGTGAAACTTCTCAGTTCTATAAACCAATACATTCAACAAATCAGCTTCTTCGTCTATTTATACATGCGCCACGCTCTCGGTTCGTCCGCTAACCAAGCTCTCTTGGAATCTCGAATTTAGCCGTTGCACAACGCACCGATGTTACAGTAGAACTCAAAAACAGACTCGAGTTACGCACACTTGCCGTTCTGGCAGGTGAGATCATCCGAGCAATCATTCTCCGTGGAGCAGGTGGCACCTATATTCCATCACAATACTTAGTATCACAGACGGAGCGCCACTCAATCAACCAACAACAGACACAGCCGACTTACCGGCGCAGTGACCCGACCA